CATTTTGCAGGTCTGCTAATGGACAAGTAAAAACAGTACTTAACATCTCTAACCACTTCGCAGTAATCTGCCCCCAAATGGAATTCACCTTCATTGAACAGGGTTTGGAAGGTACAAAGGGCTTTTTGAAAATGTTTTCAAAGGTATATCCTGTTTTTCGTCTTAGAATCAAAAGGTGTTTCTCAATTTCTTTTGTAGAGAATTCAGGATCACAGATCCAGAAGTTGAAGTCCTCTAATGATTGAAAGTGAATTATAACCCATTTTATATATGCTTTTATCCCACTCTTCTGTTCTCATCCAAAATAAATCTCATAAAGGACTTCTTGAATTAGATGTTACATACATGGTGACATGCCTTTTTCAAGGTCTAAGGCTTTAATCATTTATCCTCACCAGTCAGCCCTCTCCCCCAACCAAATGACAGTGTATTTTTCTAACACAAAGAACCGAGTTATTCTTGTAATAACTCACCACATTTTCTTAACAGGATATTCCGGGAAGAGGACACAAGTACTGCCTTAAATTTTCTGTGGAAGAAATTATCCAAAAAGTAAGTGAAATGTCTTTATTATGAAATAAAATCTGACTCTATAAATATTTTAGATCACCTTTGCTGATCAAGTCATAGGATTAACTTGTATTTTTTTTTTTAAAGTTGTGAAATCCCTGCCTTGAAAAAAAATAATGAACATACAAGGGTCAGATTATATGCTTTTAAAAATATATTGAGATACATGAAGTAATTCTATTGAGCTATTTAGAAGAGACTACACATTTCAGTTCAAATAAATTCCCTTAAAAATGTTATATATTCTTAGGGCAGTCTGAACTTATGCCTAATATGACAAATGAAGTAAAATTTACTCTCCAGTCATCATTACTTTCTTAGGTCTGCCTTTCTCATTCTGTTTTTGATTTCTTTCATTTAAAGAAAGCCAGTGCTTTTAGATATTTATGAGCAATAAAATGACCAAATGATACCAACATGTTCACAGGAATCTTTCAGTAATGGGGCAGGGAAATTTTTAAATATTATATACTTGCCAAATTATTAGCGAGACAAACTTTGAAAAAAAAGGAACTGCAGTCTGTACCATAACCATCTTAAAATTTAAAAAAAAGCTTGCCTTTTGTTGAGCATAATTCAGAAGACACACAAGGCTAACAAGAGATTTATTAAAAGATTATCTGAGCTAGTAGACAGCCATCTTTCAAAGAAGAACCAATGCTACTATTTTCTAATTTTACATCTAGATACAGATTAATTTATCCAGGCTTGAGAATATTTCTGTTATTTCAGAAGCAGACGGTAGAGTAATAGACTTAAAAATAACCAAAGTCCAGAGGTAGTACATAAAGTCAGACTAAAATCTGGCCTTACAAATGGGACACCCCATTAACACTGAAATAATAAAGTTTTGAGATGAAATATAAGATTATGATACTTTATAAGTTATAAAATAAGTTACCTATTTTAGATACCTTCAAGAAAACTGTAGGCCACACCCAATTAGATACCTCTGTAATAGACACTCTGAAGTCAAGTTTGAAACACCATTAGGGGGCCAGCACTTTAAATGTTCTATCTCAAGAATGATAATTAGGAATGGATGGCCATTTACATGTAAAGGTATTTTGGAAAATGTTTCAAACAGCAAGTTACACTGAACTGCACAGCTGAAGTACTTTACCCTCTAATGGGACAAGATACTGCACCAGAAGTCAACTTCACATTTGAAGGAGAAATTGGAAAGAACCCAGATAAAGAAGATAACACATTTTATCAAAGACTCAAGTCCATGAAGGAACCACTTGAAGCACAAAATATTCCAGGTATATAAATATGGCATGGAAAACATTTTTTCAACTTTAAGATCAATATTAATTATCTGTGCTCAAAACTATTAGATGTTAACAATATGTTGGAAATACAATGGTTTTTGCAAAAATATTCATTACTAGTCTAAGTCAACAAAAAAGGGCCTTACTTAAATTATATTCTGTACACATTTGAAGGAAACAAAAACAGGACTTAGAATTTAGATTTCTCAAAGGTTAACACTATGTATAAAATAATTCCATTCACCATATAAATGTTTCCCTCACCAGACAGTTTTGGAAATGTATCTCCAGAAATGAAGCCAATTCGACACTTAGCCTGGATTGCCTGTGGTTATATAATATGGCAGAATTCTACCGAAAACACATGGTATAAAATGGTAAAAATTCAAACTGTCAAGCAAGTGGTAAGTGATTTCTATAAAATACACTATTAACGGTTTTATTTTACTGAAAGTATAATTCATAATTGGATAAATAGTGCCCCTTTAGTCATTTTACACTTAAAATAGTGAACCTGGTATTTTGAAGGAGAGGTCAGTTCCCAAGGCTAAAAAAGTTGAAGCTGCAGTTTCAAGAGAGTAGAGTATTGAGTTATAAACAATTTGGCATTCCGTTTTTGTGCTCAGCTTAATACAGATTATATCCTTTGGTGATCTAAATTTTGTATTCAAGTTTCTACAGCTATGCGAATGAAACTACCTATGCTTTTTTGCCTCTATTGAAATGGTGGTGCCAGAGCTACTCAGAGACGGGGCTGGCATTTTTTTGCCCCAAGGATCAGCTAGAACAAATATCTTAGCATCTTTTAATCTTTGTGAAGCCTGCTGTATATTATTTTCTTTTATAACCCATTTAGTCATAATCTACAACCTCGTATCTCACTGCTAGCCTATTCTTTTAAGTCTGATACGACTGTTTAGAACCGCCTCTTTCTAGTCTTTAAAGACAAAGTCAACTTCACATTTTAGCTTTATTAAGAGGTTAGAAAGAAAAAAAAAAAGTCAACCGTTGATATCTAATGGATACGTAGAAAAACAGTGCAAAGAAACCACAACAAACAGTTTTAGTTCTATCAGAGGAAAGGACTTTCCAAATGACTTGTTTCAGCTTGCTGGAAACAAACTGCAAGCTGGAGCACCTTTACTCCACAGGCTTTTTTGCAACCGCTTATTAGACACCTACGGGCACTGGAGGGCAGGATACCCAATCACAATAGTTAGAATATGATGCCAATACCTAACATAAATACCATAACAACATTTTAAGAAACAGAGCCCTTTTTTTGTTTTTTAAATTTTTAAGTAGGCTCTGCACCCAGCATGGAACCCAACACAGGGCTTGAACTCACAACCCTGAGATCAAGACCTGAGCTGAGATCAAGAGTCAGATGCTTAACAGTCTGAGCCACCCAGGTATCCCAACAGAGGATTTTTTAAATGCATTTCTGTAGACATCAACTTTGGTTACAAATTCCTGTTGGGGTACTGAGGCTCAAATAATTGAGTAACAGGGCCAGACTACAGAGGTTATACAATCATAATCATGGTTTTCAAGGCATGACTTTGTAGCAAAATATGCTCAAGACAGTGCTAGAAGTTTTATGACAGAAAACTCCTATAACCCTTCATCAAAGTTTTAAAGCATTATTAAAATTTCAGCGGAAAGGTTTACTGCTGTTAACCAAAAGGGCCACAGCAGCTCATGCTGCCCCTTGGAGGCCAGGGCTTGTTGCAACACATTGATTAGAAACCTTAAAAAACCTTGTACAGCAAATCTCTGGTGAATGTAGTTTTAAACTATGTGGATGCAGTATTTCTGTGGAGCTGGTGGTATAAATACTTTATATGCCCAAAACAATAAGCAGCACAGATGAAAGCTTTAATTGCAAAACCATATAACTACACTCATTGTTTTCCTACTTTGTTTTTAAAAAGAGAATTTCTATTATAAAATTGGTTCCTTTAATGTAAACACTCATTTCAGTAGTTTATCCCTTAAAATGATGCTTTTCCGAATAATGGAAACATTCAGGAATCTTAAATGACAAACTTTAGATCATAATGCTCTGAAGCAGCTATCACAACTCAGAACCTAAAAAGGGTACACAACTTTTAGAGTAACAGGTGAAAAAAATCACGATTTTAAAATGTAGTTTGAAAGAAAACTTTTTTATAAGAACATAGTTTTTCTTTTTTGGGGAGGTAGGAAGGGCAGAGGGAGGGAGAGGGAATCTCAAGCAGGCTCCATCTCATGACCCTGAGATCATGACCTGAGCCAAAACCAAGAGTTGGACACTTAACTGACTAAGCCACCCAGGCGCCCCAAGAACACAGTTTTTCTGATCAGGCTAAATAAATTATAACATTCAATTTTTGTTTTTACTTATTAATTGGAAGTATTATCATCTAGTAATGAAAGTTGAATTTTAAAATGAACATATCATTTTTGCCAAAGATACTAAGTTTCAAACACCAGGTTTTTATTTTTTATGATAGCAAAGAAATGATGACTTCATTGAGTTAGACTACACCATTCTACTTCATGACATTGCTTCTCAGGTAAAGTATCATTTACCTTTATTTGATGACACTTTGAAAACTGAGACGTATTTTATAGCCACAGTGTATGCCTTATTAATTTTGACTCTAAATCAGAATTCATATAAATTAATACAGACACCAGGTTGAAGTGTATTATACTGATAGCCATTTAACTTCTTTTTTGCTGTTCTTTGTAAGACTGTTTTGTCACTAACAAAATCTAAACCCAACATTGTTTTCTTAAATGTTTTCTGAATTTTATCACAGCATTAGTTAGTTTCCTTTACTTGCAGGAGATGATTCCTTGGCGAATGCAAGTTCTCTGGCATCCACAATATGGTACTAAAGTCAAATATAATAGCCGTCTGCCAAAGGAGGCACAGCTGACGAGTCAACATGCTTGTCAATGATGTGTGTATGCCAATCTTCATCAATACCTAGTTTATGGGGCCGAGCAAATCCCAAAATGTCACTTTGTATAAATGTCTTCATTACAGTATAGAACGATACAGATTCCCTAATAGACACTATCATGATGTAAAAGTGGTGTGTATATCCCATAATAAAAAGCTTCAATTCCGGCCTCACAGTATATTTAATTGTGTTGCATACTTACGGGACGGGGGCAGTAATGGTCTCTCTGAAAGCAACTTTTGGCTTTCCTGTGACACAAGGACAACCATATTCTCTTTCCATCCTCTAAAAAGAAGAGGGGAGATAATTTTTTGGTATACTTAAAAAAAATAAACTGAAAGAAGAAAAATCATAAGAATCTTAACTACCTTTGAAGCACTCATTTAAATATGATAAAAAATGAGGGCGCCTGGGTGGCTCAGTTGGTTAAGCGACTGCCTTCGGCTCAGGTCATGATCCTGGAGTCCCGGGATCGAGTCCCGCATCGGGCTCCCTGCTCGGCAGGGAGTCTGCTTCTCCCTCTGACCCTCCCGACCCTCCCCCCTCTCATGTGCTCTCTCTCTCAGTCTCTCTCTCTCAAATAAATAAATAAATAAAACCTTTAATAAAAATAAAATAAATATGATAAAAAATGATAAATCTTCGGGTGCCTGGGTGGCTCAGTTGGTTAAGCGACTGCCTTCGGCTCAGGTCATGATCCTGGAGTCCCGGGATCGAGTCCCGCATTGGGCTCCCTGCTCGGCAGGGAGTCTGCTTCTCCCTCTGACCCTCCTCCCTCTTATGCTCTCTGTCTCTCATTCTCTCTCTCTCAAATAAAAAAAAAAAGAAAAAAAATGATAAATCTTCAATCATTTAAGTATCTTACAAAGTACCTTACAAAGGTTAGATACATGATATTAAGTAATATAAATGACTTTTAGAGATTTTATATAAATGAATTCTAATTTAGACTGTTTAATTTACACTTACCTCTAATTTATCTATCCACTAAAACTTCACCTTTATTTCATATTATTACATATTCTCTGGAATAAGTTTTCTACTATCAACTTCAAAAATATGATCACAACCAGAATTTTTAATCATAAGTCAAATAGCTTTTGTTTTCATTCAGAGATACAGAAGACCTTTCCTAGGGAAAATACAGCCCATCTACTCTTTCTATTATCTAAATTCTAATGATCTTCAAGTACTGACTTGAGAAGAAAACAGGCAAGAAATGGCCTCAAGAGTGGGCACTGGTGGGCCAACTTCCTCAGCAGGTCTCTCCCTGCAGGTTCTCTCCCTAAGGTTGAGACCAGGATTTGCTTGACCCAACTAACCACTACCTAGGGATGGATGGATGATCTTATTGCAAATACTTGGGAGTCTTGATTCTAGGAATCTGCAAATGTTTTACAAATAAAAGGATTTAGAAATCAAAAATAATTAATTTGTAAGAGAGTAACATTTGTAACACAGTATGCCACAGCTGGATATAAGCCAGAATGAAGTCTGAAGAACCACTATTAGTTTACAGTCATTAGACTGAGAATTACTGACTTGTAACAAAACACAGACATAAATAAAATGAATTTAAGTTAACTTCCTTGTTATTCATTACCTGAGCATAGATTTCTAGGTGTAATTCTCCCATTCCAGATACAATTGTCTCTTTGCTCTCAGTGTCGAAGTGGACTTTAAATGTGGGATCTTCTCTTGTAAACCTGCCAATACCTTTTGAAAATTTTTCCAGATCATTCTTTAAAAAAAGAAAGTCATTACACATTTTAGTAAGCATGGTAAGCAATGGGATTGTTGAAAGAACTTTACTAAATGAAATCAAGTACATTAACAGTTAGGAAGTAACAATGATCCCCATCTAGTTCCTAGGCCATACATACCCTTTCAGTATGTGAGCCTGGACAACACACAATCAAGAGAGCAGGGAATGGTTGGCTGACAGAATTTTCTGTCCACAACAAGATACAAAACAAGAGTCTAAGGCTTAACTATGCCCTTTCCTATTTTATTCTTGGATATACATAGAAACTGTCCATTTGTGGAAAACTATCCATTTGTGGAAAACTTTCTCCAGTGAAGAAAAAGCATCCTTGTCACTCTATTACATTTTAGAAATTCTATACATAATCAAAGGAATCAGCACGTTTACCAAGATTTGATTGTAGATTCAAGCAGGACAGTTAAGACCAAGAGTAAGGCAAATGTCACACTGAGACTTTTCCCTGCTTGGATTTGATTGCATGCACCTTTATTCTCCTCAGATATAATTCCATACGTGGTAAGTAGAATTATGGTCCTCTAAGGATAAGCCCTAATCCCCCCAAACCCATGAATGTTACTTCATATGATGAAGGGGATTGTGGAGATACGATTAAATTTACAGACTCTGCGATGGGAAGATACCATGAAGAATCTGGGTTGGCCCAATGTAATCACATGGGCCTTTAAAAAGGAAGAGGAAAACAGAAGGGTTAAGTTAGAAAGATGGAACGAGGGAAGAAGAGGCAGAAGATATATGAAGCACAAAAGGAGTTGACTGCGTGGTTGACAGCACTGAAGACAAGAGGAGTGGCCAAAGCCTACGAAAATGGACAGCTTCTAGAAGCTAAAAACAGGCCCCAGGTGACAGTCATCAAAGAAATGGGGACCCCAGTCCCAACAGCCACAAGGAGCTGAATTTTGCCAACAATCTGAGTAAGCAAAAATAAAATGTCCCCTAGAGCCTCCAGAAAGGAACAGTCCTGTCAGTCCTGTCAGTATCTTCATTTTAGTCGATTAAGAACTATGTCAGATTTCTTACACTGTAAAATAATACATTTGTGCTACTTTAAGCCACCAAGTGTGTGGTACTTTCTTATGGCAGCAACAGAAAAAAACGAACACACCCTGAATCACCAGTATTTAAGTTATCACGTGTGCATGGAACTGTGCTATATTCATGTTTTGAATATGTACCTCAGATTCTAACCACAATGCTGCAAGACAGAATTATCCACATTTCACAGGTGAGGAAACTAGGTCTAGAAAGGCTGACTGACCTGCTCAAGGCCACAGAGCTAGTGCATGGCAAAGCTGGGACTGAAACCTCGGTTAGTCTATCTCTAAGTTTTTGCCTTTTCCCTACATTAGCCAGGTACTCCCAACTTACTAGAAGATCATCCCTGCCCCCACTATCGAGATTCACAGCTTTATGCAGTGACTTCATTATTTGATTTAAATTAATTTACTCCAGCAAACAGACAAGCCTGAAACACCAAAAAAACCTTTTAGATACTGATGCCTTTGATTTTCCTCCACTGTTGTGAACTATCAAGAGTTAAATACCTTACATAAACTCTGAATTAGGAATGAAGAAGCACAGTATCTTTAACTTCTTTCCCTGATTATTCAGAAGGGAAAAGCAAGCAATTTAGCAAAGCACCTGAAACTGTGGCATTTCGCTGTGTGGTAAGATGCAAGGTTTGCCTTTCCTCAAATTTGAGATGGTATGACATAATGTTTCTTGCTCCCTAAACATTCTCTTTTCTATACTGAGAAGGGTCTGGAAAAGCTCATTTCCTCAAAACAGAGGAAGAAGTACCTGTTAATGTATCCACAAGACAATACATCAGAGTATGTTCTCTAAACAGTAGTTCCCAGATGACAAGAGGTCATAAAATATTCACTCGATGCATGAATGAGTCCATTTCAATTTACCATACTAACATGACTGTTATGAATGTCAAAGCAATTTAAGAACTCAAACAATATGGCATTAATACAAACTAATTCTAATGGCAGTAATGAGAGTAAGAACCTATTCAAGGAATTCTGGTTTCATAAAAAGCGAAATGACATCAAATCCAACCATAAAACTATTATATTTGAAACTGAGAAAGGGGTGCCTGGGTGGCTCAGGTGGTTAAGTGTCCGACTCTTGATCTCAGGGTTGTGAGTTCAAGCCCCACATCCACACACAGCATGGAGCCTACTTTAAAAGAAAAAAAAAAGTGGAGGGGCGCCTGGGTGGCTCAGTCGTTAAGTGTCTGCCTTCGGCTCGGGTCATGGTCCCGGGGCCCTGGGATCGGCCTCGCATCGGGCTCCCTGCTTGGCGGGGAGCCTGCTTCTCCCCCCTGCTCGTGCTCCCTCTCCCTCTCAAATCAATAAATAAAATCTTGTAGAAAAAGTCTTGTTTGCAGGCTTTCCATGTTATAACCAGACATATACTTCATAACTACCACAAATCCAGAGATGTAATATAATCCATGAGGCAATTAATCTATGTAGTAATCTAATGTACCTCAGTGAGGTTTTACTACAACTTAGGATAAATGTCCCTGTTTCCCCTTTTCCACTCCTTTATGATCTGAACACAGGAAAATATTCTTACCACTTTGGAGCCAATGATATTAGAAAGAGTTAGAAAGCACAGTCTTGTGCCCATTTTAATACCATCAATTTTTTCAGGTATAGTGAGAACTAATTACTACCAAGAGACTGGTAGTTTTAGAAGGTGATCTCAATACCAAAAGAAGAAATAGAGACCGTTAAGATTGCTGGTTACCACAAGATACTATGTGCATTGTGCAGAAAGATGAAAAAGAGCTCAAGTTTTTATTTGGATTGAAACCAAACTCCTACCTTGTTAGAAGGCTTCATTGCTATTGAAATGACAGGATCAGGAACATGAATTGACTCCTAAAATATTTTTTAAAAGAACAGAGAGGAATTCAAATACAGTACTGTTTGGGTCAGGGATGGATTACTTTTAATGTGGTACTTACAAAAGAACAAAGGACAAATACTAGTCAACACATTTAGGCTAGACAGTATATATCTTGGTCTGTTTTGTATTAAATATATTAATACATTAATAAATGCATACACTTACATGATCTCTTCTCTCCCAAAATAACAAAAATAAACTGTTTATTAACTGTTTAAGACCCTCAAGTTGATTGACACATTCATTTTAAACATAATCGTAATGAACCCAAATGCCAAGATTTGAATTCTTATTGGCTAGTGGCGACATGTGCTATTGCTGTCTTTTGATAAGCTATTTAATCAAAATATGCCATGACTGATAAAACAGAGAAAGGACACTAGATTCTTTATACATACGATACCTCATTTAATCAGTCACAGCTCTGACAAGCAGTTATTATTATCCCCATTTTACAAATAAAATCATTAAAGTCTTGGAAAGACAAAATAACTTGGCAGAGGTGAGACTGTAATCAAGGTCTATTTGCTTCAAAGCCTAAGCACTTCCCACAACCTCCAGTCCCTCATATACTAATTACAAGTATTTAGAGAAGGCCTTATCAATAATATTTTATAAACCATGCCCCTTCTCTAGACCCCCCAAAGACCTGTATAGATTTTGATTTTTTGTAGTATCTTAAAGCAACATGTAAAACCATAGACTAGGGGCGCCTGGGTGGCTCAGTTGGTTAAGCGACTGCCTTCGGCTCAGGTCATGATCCTGGAGTCCCGGGATCGAGTCCCGCATTGGGCTCCCTGCTCGGCAGGGAGTCTGCTTCTCCCTCTAACCCTCCCCCCTCTCATGTACTCTCTCTCTCTCTCATTCTTGCTCTCTCAAATAAATAAATAAATCTTAAAAAAAAAAAAACAACAAAAAAAACCCATAGACTAATTAGAGAATATCTTATACAGAAAAGCTAAATTGTAAAATTATAAATTCACCACATAATACAGGGACTACTACAGTGCTCATCTGTTAGGATTGGACCAGTTCTTACGTAAATGACCCACTGTAAATTCCTTCACCTCAAATTACCCATCCCCCTATGTACTCATATTCTTTCTTTACTGAAGTCAGGAGAGGGACCACCCTCATGAACAGATGTCATACTGTCGGAGAGCCTATTCTCCTACAGGGGCAAAAAAGGGAAGTGAATGAAGGGGATTCAAAGGCAGGAAGTGCCCAAGCATGCTCTTCCCTTTCGGATCCCTCCGTCATGAAAAGGGACCTCTGAGTTCCACAGGGCAGGCTGTGTGCGCTAAGTCAGACTGTCTAGTTGCACCTTGCCTTCGAGCAAGGTTCCATTCTGTTATCCCCTAGTCTACATGTTACAGTTCTCTGGGGGATTGAGGCAAGGGCCCACTCTGGCTGTTAAGTAAGTGGCCGTCCACCGGGATTAGCCTGATTCTGGTGACAGGAATTAGAGAGGAATTGGCAATGGGGAAGAAGATCTCAGAGTAGAGTCAGAGCTACACAGTTCAGGTGTATCTAGTGAAGATTTTTCCCTCTATGCTCAATCTTAGAGGACTGTGGAATTATCTTACTAAGAGAAACCAGGTAAGTTAGGTCACACAGCGTGCTTGTCTAACTGACATCCAAAAAGCCACGACAAATCTATACTGATGCCTGTGGCAATAAATGAAAACTGTGACTGTTTTTCTGAAGTCCTAAATATACTACATAAAAACAGACTTCTAAAACCCAAGTGCTATAAATGACGTACCATAGAAAGGCCACTACTATTTTTGTTTGTGAATGTGTCTCCACTAGCACAGTCAATGCCAAACAATGCACAGATGTCTCCAGCGTACACTTCCTCAACATCCTAAAGAAAGAAAGCACACAAAATAATACTTGCAAATAATACAAATCAGGACACGCTAACTGAAAAGTAATCACACAATGAGCACGTTGTACATAAATGAACATGGCAGAATCTCACCGTGAATTCTACAGAGAATGAATTAGCTAGAACAAATGTAATACCAATAATCAACCAAGGCAAGATATACCTTGAATAGGGCCTTTATTTAAACCACATCTCAACTGACGAGATTTTACTTTGTATGGAAACTCAGAGCTATGGCATCATTAAGTTGGAAGATCTGGAGTACTGACAGAACACAGAGCCTCACACTTCTAAAGTTATTTCTATGGATTAAAAAGGATATATTATATGTGCTGCCACAGTCCAACAATGAGATATGTATGGCAAAGATGTACAAGGAAAAACTGCAAAGGAAGTTTTGAAAACAAAGGCAGGAGAATTCAGCCCATTGTACTTAAAATAATCTTAATTGCTCACAGTGCAAGCAGTCAAATAAACACAGGAAATCTAAGAACAAAGCACTGGTGCCTCTTAAGCTTCCTAGGTTTTGTCCATTTATACTGACAGTTCATTCATAACAGCTGTGGCTGTGAATGACCAAGTGTGCCTGAGTCTTTAACAGTTCCACAGATGTAAACATCTTGTAGCCTCTGGCCCATAAAAACATCTGTGACAATCACTAATCCCTGTATTATGCCCCCTGCTGCCTATCTCACAAAACAGCAATAAGATCCAATTTTGAAAGACTGCTTATTCATCTTCCAGAAGAGACCACAAATTTCTGAATGTTGTAAGATTTTGCTCAGACTAATAAATGTCTCTAGGAACATAGAGCTGACTGGGGAAAGAGCGGGAGTGGGAGATAATACCACACGTGTGGCATTTCTACTAAGGCCTAACCCTGAAAGGCCATATAGAAGGCTAGAAGGGATTCAGAGCCAATTCAAAAATTCAAGCCATAAGCCAAAGTTTATTTCCCAGATATGACCTTGAAAGGTTCTAATCTTCACATGGATTCTAGCACCAATATGGTCCTTTGGGGGGTGGGGGAGGGCACTGGTTCTATAACAGGAATAAAAAACTCTAGGTTAAACAGGGCTTTCACATGGGGCCATACCTGTGAAAGTAAATTCACTGAATAATGTGGGACACTGTGTGTGAATTGATTACTCTCAATTACCTTTGAGAACCACAGTTCCACTGTCCCAACACCTGTTATACTCTTTGTAATGACAGCTCTTGAGAAAGGTGCTGAATCTTGGGTTCTAAGTCAAGGAACTGTCTCTTCTCCTTAACCTTGGCCATTGAGGAAATACAGCTAATCACAAATAGTATATAAAATGTGTCCTTAACATCTGCTAATTTAGCCCATACCAAAGAGCTACATCAAAATTATAGCACATCTAAGTAAAAAGGAAGAAGCTAGTGAAACATTCAAATAGAAGTGATTTTCTTGTGGGGCTCGGGGTACCAAGAAGGTAGATCTATCTCACCTGCATTAGAGAAATTTCTGATCTGCCAGGAAGGACCCATACTTGCCTCCATCATGTCGGCATGCAGGCGAACCAGCCGCTGCACCCGCACTTTCTTTCCTGTCCTCGTGTTATAGATGGTGTCACCCTTCTTCAGCTCTCCTTGATAATTGCGGACATAAGTTAACTGTCCAAATCGCCCAGCCTAGAAGTCAAGATGGGGTAAGGCGGAAAGATGAAAAAGAAACATAAGAATCAAAATTAAGAGAAAAACATCAGGGTGCCTGGGTGGCTCAGTTGTTAAGCATCTGCCTTCGGCTCAGGTCATGATCCCGGGGTCCTGGGATCGAGCCCCGCATCGGGCTCTCTGCTCAGCAGAAAGCCTGCTTCTCCCTCTCCCTCTGCCTGCCACTCTTCCTGCTTGTGCTCTCTTGTCAAATAAATAAAATCTTTAAAAAAAAAAGAGAGAGAGAAAAACTTCACAACATCCTCCAATCATTCCCTATCAATTTTAGTAGTACAGTTTATACACGTTTTGGTTGACGGTCTAAAATACTTAAATACTAGCTTTGAATATATATGAGTTAAATGGTTGTTTTTGATCTTTCTGGTACTACTTCTGATTCCTCTGAAATAAAAATTAGAAAATAATTTTAAACTGTGTATGCAATAAGGAAATATCCTTTTGCCTTCTATTATTATTTCGTAAGTTTGGTTTAATACAATTAAGATATAAAACACAAATAAATTATAATTATTGGAAAGACAACAAAAATATAATTAGAAATGGTAAGAATGTACATCTAAAAAAAAAAACCTTTGATAAGCACCTGGAAAGCTATATAAATAAGCATTCTTTAAAGTAACTGAATATAAAATAAATAACCAAGGATCAATTCCTCCTCAATACTAACACTAACCAACTGGGTATGTTTCAAAAGTTGCCAATTCTTCCCATATTAATTTATAGGTTTAACACAATAGCAATAAAAATCCCAAGAGGAATTTTTAAACATATAATTAATGATTTTAAAGTTCATTTAGAAGAATGGATAAAAATAGAAATTTCTGAACTATTATGGCAATGAGAAGAAGCTAACCATGACTGATATAAAAACATTAAATACTCGAAACTTAAAAAGTAAAGAAGTAGGACAAATTAAACTGAATAGCACACAGAGTAAAAAAATATCTAAAATGCAGAATACATTTGTCAACAGACAATGCTGACAAAAGACATGACAATGAAAAAGTACAGCATTGTTCAAAAACTGGGAGCTGGACAACTGGTCCTCTATTTGGAGGCAGAGGAGATACATTTAGAGTCCACCTCACAGCACACAGCAAAACAAATTCCAGCTGGATTAACAATGGAAAAAAAAAATCACCATAGAAAAAGTAGAAAACATTTATGAAATATATACAAAGAGGATTTCTAAGGTTAAAAAATGAGAGAACTAAAAAAGACTGATACATTTGACTATAAATTTAAACTGTTGATTGTTTAAAAAAAATAAGATTAGAGAAAGATCATTTAAATAAATAAACACTTTGACACTAATTTTTAAAATAAGAAATGAGACAATTGCAAAAAAGGAATTATAACTGCATAATCAATATATGGAAAAATGTTCTCTACCATTAGGAATTAAAGCAAGATATAAAATAAAATTTACAAAAAAGGAACTAAAGCAAGAAGAATTATTAACTTTCACTTATAAAACTGGTAGTAATTTTTAAGTAATACTCAATGCTGATAAAGATTCATTGAAATAATTTAATACATTAACTCTGAGAGTATGAAAGAAATCTGGCAATAAACCCATTAAATATTAAAATATTCTATTCCTTTAATTCAGTAATCACCATTCAAGGAATCCTAAGAAGATATTCCTAAATGTATACTTTTAAAAGCTTTACCCATAAAAACTGTCACCACAATGTTATTTGTACTTTTTAACTTAAAATTACGTTTTTTAGAATAAGTATATTGTAAAAATTTTTAAAACTAAAAGCCCCCCAAATATAATCCCATCCCAGAAATAACCACTTTTTTTTTTTTTTTTAAAGATTTTATTTATTTGATAGAGACAGCGAGAGAGGGAACACAAGCAGGGGGAGTGGGAGAGGGAGAAGCAGGCTTCCCGCTGAGCAGGGAGCCTGATGTGGGGCTCGATCCCAGGACCCTGGGATCATGACCTAAGCCAAAGGCAGACGCTTAATGACTGAGCCACCCAGGTGCCCCAGAAATAACCACTTTTAACACTTCAAACTTAACCACCTTCTTTCCCCCTTAAAATAGTATGAACAGCAGCAGCAACAACCTAACAAAAAATACTCCCAGGTACCCAAATCTTGGTTTCTAATACCATTCTTGATTAAGAGGAATGGAACCAAGGCACCTAGAGAAGTGACTGGTTCTAGGTTCTAGCGTGGAGGATCCTGCAGTGCCACAAAGTCAGGAAGGATTCAAAAGAACAAAACATTGCAGAATGTCAAAAGGACCCAGGAGCAACTAAAAGAGCTCCAATGGCCAAACCTGGCCAACATGCACAACAAAATAAATAACATACTACTCATTATAACAAAATAAATATCCATGAGGCCAGGCTGATATAAAGAAATGACTGAATAAAAAGATAAATGGGGGAGAGAAGACAACTCTCCCATATAGAAGAATCCCAAATAACTGAATAGTAGATACTGCTCCCTCAAGGGGGTGGAACATAATTCCCCACACCTTAAGTGTGGGCTGCATACAGTAACTTCCTTCTAAAGAGGCAGTATGGAAAGAGGAAAAGGGGGAGTAACTTTCAGCAGAGAAATTTGTAACAAAGTCATTTTGTAACAGGAAGAACACCGTAAAAGAAAATTTCCATGTACAGCAATTAAATACATTAGAAAGCAACTTACCTCCAGTTTAAAAGCCAGGCCTACAAATGGGTGGGAACTGCTTCTCTCGGAGTTCATTAAGATTTTGTTTTTCTCTTTTGAGTCACTTAAAAGAAATATAAATCTGTGAGACACATTATTTGATATTTCTTTTATAGCAATTTGTTTCATCAGAGTATTATCTGAGAAAAAGCATATACATGCTAAACATTTCTGACCTCACATAAATGAAATTTCACTGAAAGAGATTAGTAAGAATAACTTCTCAGGGCTTAGTTACTACATTAGGACAGGACCAGAGCAGACTAAAAACACAAAAATGGCAGAGAAAGAAAAGAAAAATAATCAATGAGAACTTAAAAAAAAGTCTGTGTTTCAAAGCTTAAGGGTTTTTTTGTTTTTGTTTTTTTTGGTGTGGCTGAAAACAGCTGGTCCCAAATGAAAAAATTTACTAATGATGTAAACCTTGGTAGATAATAAATCATACTTCTAACTTACAAACAGAATATGATATGGCAAGTGGTATAATAAATAGTTTTCTATATGTCAAAAGTGTTACCCAAACAGAAACTGGCAACTGATTTTCGTAAATTATGGGGGGGGGGAACCCCACAAACACAACTTAATCAAAAGAACCATTCTTAAGTTCTTTCATAGTGCATAAATGTTAAAATATTTCAGCGTAAACTAAGATTCAATTTCCAAGACTTACTCCTCCTGATTGAGAATAGCATAATTTTGGACTTCAGATGGATTTGGGAGGTATTCTAAAACAGCATCTAAAAGAGGCTGAACTCCTTTGTTCTTCAACGCACTTCCCAAAAGGACAGGAGTAAATGACCTATTTAGAGTAGCTCTTCGGATTGCACACTACAAAAGAAAAAAATTTAATAATTACTTAACCTTAAAAAAAGTTTTCTATTTGAGATCAATTACAAACCAATAAGTGAATAAAAGGAATTCACACTTTTTAAAGCTTTCATTTATTTATTTGACAGAGAGAGACACAGTGAGAGAGGGAACACAGCAGGGCGAGAGGGAGAAGCAGTACTCCCGCGGAGCAGGGAGCCTCATGTGGGTGCGGGGCTCGATCCCAGGACCCTGGGATCATGACCTGAGCCGAAGGCAGACGCTTAACGGCTGAGCCACCCAGGCGCCCCAGGAATTGACACTCTTTGGAGTACAGCCTATAGTGGAGACTAGAACCAGGTCCTCTATAACTTAAGGTCAAAATACAAGAAAAAAATCGGTTCCTTCTTCAGGGCTAGGAAGCTATTTACTATATAACTGCTCTCGACACTCTTAGAATGTCACTAATTTTCAATATGACAAAGAATATATATACACATAGAAAATAGGCACACACATAGAAATGTGTAAACAGTAGGCTAACAATTACGTAAAACATAAGGAAAAGTAACACTCACACACACACACACACACACACACAAAATGTCTGGAAAGATACACCAAAAACTATTAACTGGTAACCTGTTTTAGGGAGGAGGCACACAGGCGTTTTTTTTCTTTATTGTGTACCTTCGAATACTTTTAAATGTTTAAAACCTATGAAAATATCATCTATTAAAAAAACACATTAACGGATGTTTTCTTTTTTTAAACAACACACATACAGGAGCCAAGGAGTACAAATCACTCATAAATTAAGAGCCATGAGAGTAACAGGCTCTAAAATACCGACCTCCAGGCCCCACCCCAACCCCGGTGCAAGCGCTATGAATGCGTCCCAGCTGCGGGCCACAGGTGCTCCTCCTGGCTCAGCAGGTCCGAGAGCAAGCAGCGGCACTTCAGGCCTTCGCAGCGGGCAGAGGTCAACAGCAGTGCCGTGGCCACAACCTGCCACAGCAGCAGTAGGGAAGCAGTGGACAATTAGTTCTCTAGAAAACTAGTTCTCCTTAAAAAAGCTTAAAGCAAAAACTGACAACCACAATTTCGAAACATCACCACGATGAAAAGTAGAATAACAGCTGCACACAATAAAGGGAGGATAAAAAGGGGGAAAATGTGCATGGCAAGAAAGCAATTACTATTTGAAATTATCCCGAAAGCTTGCTGTTGCTAGGATCCAGAAATGGCTAGGTCACCAACCACTTAATAAGCTACCTTAAGCCATAGGACAGCAACTCTGCCTTACCACCCCTCCCTTATATGCAGGTAGGGACATAAAAGAATCCTACCACACTTACTTTACAGTAGAAAAACAGGAGGGTGGTAGATAAACAGAAAAAAAAAAAAATTACAACTATCCTAATACCAGCCTAACAAAAGCTTTATTTTCCCAAAAATTTCCCTTGTTTTCCTAAGAATCATTTTCACACTTCAAAGGTGTCGCCTTTCCACTGTCCCTAATGATATATCCAACAGTACAGAAAGTACACCCATGTATCCTCTGCAGAAAACAGTAAACACAGCAGCACTGAATCGGCTATGCTCAGAAACGCCTGTTTACAAGGTTGGCCCTCTGGCTGGTGTCTGGGAACCTGGATTTCAGGAAGGTTCCCAGCATTCCCAGAACTGAGAATGGTTCACTGTGCCTACAGTCTACACAATGAGGTGGATGCTAACACCCACTTTCCTCCTGGGAGTCTGGAATCTGGGTACATGCTAGGCAGGGGATGTCTGTGACTAGCCCCTGACAGAACCAAGGGCACTGAGTTTCTAATAGATGAGATTCACAGGTACAGTCACAACTCACTGCTGGAGGAATGAGGCATGCCCTGCCATGACTCCACTGGGAGAGGACGCTTGGAAGCGTATACATGGTTTCTTCCAGACTGCACCTCATGTGCCTTTTCCCTTTGATTTTGCTTTGTATCCTTTCACTGTAATAAATCATAGTCAAGAGTATGAAAAGGTGTTGAGAACTCTGAGTGATCCTTGTGAATCACTGAACCTGGGAATGGTCTAGGGGACCTCTGACATAAGACCTTTAATAGGTTAAAAACCTAACCCTTGTTGTGGTTCCCAGGACACAATGCTTGACCAATACCCTCCTACATAGTTTGTGAAAACTAAAGGACTCAAGTTATGAGATAATATTAGTAAGCATCCTCAGCTTGGACAGGGTTCTTTCCTTGTGCATTTGACCTACTATAGACTCCATTGCGCAAGGTCTTACACACAGTAATCATTTATCTGATCTCTGCTAAGTGTACCACATGGTTTGGCAAAATATCAGTTTTTTTAATGGTAAAATGAACATAAAATTTATCATTTTAACCATCGTTAAGTATACAGTTCAGTGGCATTAGGTACACTCACACTACTATGCTACAGTTACCACTATCCATCTCCAGAACTTTTTCATCATCTCAAATGGAAACTCTGTACTCCTTAAACTCTCTATTCTGGAACCCACCCCTCTGCCACCACCCCTGGTAACCACTATTTCTGTCTGTAAGAATTATGACCATTCTGGGTACCTCATGTAAGTGGAATCATACAGTATTTGTCCCTTCGTGTCTGGTTCATGTCATTTAGCATGTCTTCATGGTTCATCCACGCTACAGCATGCAACAGAATCTTCCTTTTTAAGGCTAAAACACAGTCCAGTGTGTGTGTGTGTACTAATTTTGTTTATCCATTCATCCACTGATGGGCATTTAAGTTGTTTCCAGCTTTTTGCTACTGTGAAGAGTGCTGCTATCAACACAGGTATACAAATACCTATTTGAGTTAATTCTTTTGGATATTATCCTGAAGTGGAATTGCTGGATCCATATGGTAGTTCTAGGTTTAATTTTTCTGAGGAATGGCCATACTTCTTCCACAGTGACTGCCTCATTTCACATACCCATTAGCAATGCACAAGAGTTCCAATTTCTCTACATCTTCACCAACACTTGTTATTTTACTATCAACAGGAAAAAATTGTTTTTTTTTTAAATAATAGCTATCCTAATGGATAAGGTGAAATCTCATGATTTTGACTTGCCTTCCCTAATAATTAGTGATGCTGAGCATCTTTTCGTGTGCTTATTGGCCATCTGTACGTCTCCCATGGAAAAATTATCTATTTGAAAAATAAATACCAGTCTTAAGCAGAGGTTTTTTTATTTTTAAGGAGCTAAATGAACAGGGGCGCCTGGATGGCTCAGTCGTTAAGCGTCTGCCTTCGGCTTAGGTCATGGTCCCAGGGTCCTGGGATCCAGCCCTGCAGCGGGCTCCCTGCTCCGTGGGAAGCCTGCTTCTCCCTCTCCCACTCCCCTCGCTTGTGTTCCCTCTCTCGCTGTGTCTCTCTCTGTCAAATAAATAAAATCTTAAAAAAAAAAAAAAAAGGAGCTAAATGAAAAAGTGAAGAAATCTATACAGGCTTCTAAACAGTACAAGTATCAACATTTAGTCTGTAAACATTTAGCAGCCTCGTCATTTAATCTGTCTTACTGCTCTAACACTTGTGTATTTATTTTCTTTCTTCTTAAGAAGATACACCCAAGAGGTTGGATATTTAAATATCTTTTTTTTTCTTAGTGCAAACTATAACTCCTTTCCCATACTTAAAAAGTAATATGCCATAGCAAGTATTTTTTGAAAAAAACAACGTTAAATAAATTTACTCAGATTTCATTAATAAAACCCATGCATAAAAGCATCATATCTCTTACCCACAAAAAAAGCAAACAACAAAAAACCCCACCCTCTTTTCTTGTTATGTAAGACTTATTTTGTACTTGCCTTTAAATCAGAAACTGAGGGGATTTTTTCCTCCAGGAACATCTCACCAAGCTGCTCATCTGAATTGGCAACACATTCAATCAGCTCTTGCCGGTGCTCAGCTGCCGCTGCCCTGAATTCTGCTGGAATTTCCCCATATCGAACAACCTGACTAAGAAAAGAAATGCTTTATTTTACTACTGTAAGGATATCCAGTTACACAGTATAAAGCACCAATGAAAAAGATAATCCCTAATGGCTAAATTTTTTTTTAGATGAGAAGAAGCTCTGATATATTTGCATTAAAATGGCAAGTGAGACTAAGGTAGATCTTTAAAATGTAGACAAGAATAGCGGGCAAAAATACTTAAACAGGCAAAGCAAACTGCCAAGGTTATACTACTAGTAAATGTAAGAGCCAAGAGTCAAAGCCAGTCTGACTCCAAAGCTCATATGACTCTTGAACATTCTATTAACCAAATTAATCAGAATATCACAGTCACTAACAAGGAGGAATAGAGACCTGACTTTATTCCTTTCCATTAATAACAAACCCAATTACACAATTTTAACACAGAATACTTAATAGTAAAAAAGGTTACTAAATATGACACACTCTTCAACCTTAACCCCAGGGCTCCATTTCTCTAGGGGCTAGATAGGTAAGAGTTACAAATAAAATATACACAACTGAGAAATGGGTATACTTGATATTTAAAAACATCAGTCTTAAAGGTTTCAAAGTATTTCTTTAAAAATGGAAACTAATATCAAAAAAATAAGCTTCCCAGAAAACACGTTCCTAAATTAAAAAAGTAAAAGAAGCCAACTGCACATATTCAGAAAATAATTCTTATTATCCCCAAAAATGCTCTTCACAGCCTTCAGATCATAATTTCATCCTTCTTGTCAGGCTCCCTGGTTCTTAGCCTTTTATGTCAGAATCAGCTGTGGGTCCTTTCGAAATTTATATACCCAGCGGTCTAGGGCTGGGAAAGGGGGCAGGTATATTAAGAAATTTCATCTGTGGTTGGGGCATACAACAAAGTTTGAGAGTCTTTCCTTTAGAAGACAAATGTGTGCCCTGGTAACTTTGGGAAAGTGGATTTATTCATTCATTTACAAATATTTTTTGAGTCCGTATTGTGTACCAGCAATTTCTAGGGCTGGGGACAGCACTGAATAAACTTGGTAAAATATCCATATCCTCTTGGGCCTTACATTCTAAGAAACAGTAGATAAGCTATAGTCACTATTGTCACACAAAAAGTGAGAGAAACACCTCATCCACTAGACAGCCTACATCCTTTCCCTGCCTACAAGACAGCTGATGAGGGGCGCCTGGGTGGCTCAGTCGTTAAGCGTCTGCCTTTGGCTCAGGTCATGATCCCAGGGTCCTGGGATCGAGCCCCACACCGCATTGGGTTCCCTGCTGCTCGGGAGGCCTGCTTCTCCCCCTGCTTGTGTTCCCTCTCTCGCTGTGTCTCTGTCAAATAAATAAAATCTTTAAAAAAAAAAAAAAGACAGCTGATGAGGATAAATGATGGTTAATTGAACACAACACCCTTCACCCACCTGCCAGACTAGCAATCCCAGTTTCACAGCAGAGAAAGGAAACCTCTGAGGAATTGCCTCTGGAGAAACAGCTAGGCTATTGAGGCCACTCCTCATAAGGAAGGGTCATTTATGACTTCCCACACTGTCTAAAACAGTGCCACTCAAAATACGGTCTGTAGATCTACAGTGGCCAGCATCACCCGGGAGTTTTCCAGAAATGCAAATTCCAGGCTCCAGATGTACTGAATCAGACTCTTCTGGAGGTGGATCCAGGAATGTGTTTTAACAAGCTTTCACGTAATCTTTCTGAATGTCAAAGTTTGATAACCACTGGGAAATTACAGTGTTTTGTATGTAGAGGTCACTCAGAATTGATTGATGGATCAAATATCATGTCATAAAATTACCAATTTGCTTCTTATATTATCGAAACCACATTTGTACTATTTAACTGCTTTTACATATTATTGTTTTATCTCTGTAATCTCAAAGTAGATAGAGCAAATATTCATGATCCATATTTTCTTCCAAGTTTTTATCACCATACCCAGGACATAGTAGCGGCTCCATAAAAGTCTACAGAATGAATCAAATGAACAAGGAAAAAGAGATGCATTATTAGCCCAAGCTGATGGCCTTTTACCATACCATGCATATCATAACATGATATAAATTACCCAAAAAGTAACACACTCTCCCTTGGAATGAATACCAAGCAAAATGGGAAGCAACTAGCATTAAAGGCATTAAAACAAAATCATTTTGAAGTATATTTCTCCAGCCACATTTTAAAAAGATGTTTTCTCTATATTTAAAGAAATCATCCTTTTTCTTCTCTTTGATGCTTTTTAAAATGTAAGATATTAAAAATATATTTTTAACTTACCCAAAGTCTCCATCAAAATAGATGGCTCGTTCCTCAATAAGATCTATTATACCTCTAAAATCACCCTCCAAACCAATGGGTATCTGCATAAATGCTGCATTATGACGCAGTTTAGACCTGAAAAATAAAAATACATATGTCCTCCCTAAATCCCTTTGAAATGACAAAAATAAATCAATGGCAGATGTTGTGGAACTGAGAGGGGTATAATCAAGAACTCCAAACAGAAAACATAAAACAGCTGGGAACAACCAAACTCACCATGCTCAGGAAGCCAAAACCCTATTTAGGCAACAAAAGAACTCTAAAATTAGTGTTTTCCCATCAGATCCCCAGAATATCCTGGATCAAAACATAAGGGGGAAGAACAAATCAATGGTGGTTGGTCAGAAAATTTTTAAAGGACAGTGGGATCACCTTGGCCATCTCTCTTTCTTAGATCAGCCAACTCTAGCAAAGCTGAGTACAGCTATCTGAAGAGGAAGTTCTTACAGGAGAACTCTTAGCACGCACGTTAAAAATCAGACACTCATTATCAGCCTGTTCCCTCAATCAGGCACAATCAGTGAAGGGATTCACTGGCAAGAATTCTCACTCAAAAAGAAATATGCTCTGGCTACCACTGTTTAGTCTAGACTCTAGGCCTCCATCTATAACTATGGATAGATAACGAAGAATCACCAAATATTTGAAGGTTACCAATAGCCTGAAAGAGAGGTGCGAGCTCCAGAAACTGTATTAACTTCCAAGTAGAGAGTTATAAAAAAAAAAAAAAAAAAAGTAAAGATCTGAGAAGTAACTACCTCTCTATTAATGAAGACGTTGCAATAAAAGAGAAAGTTTAGGAAAGCAATTACATAATTGCAGAAATTAAAAAGAAAAAAAAACAGGCTAAATTAATAGAAGGGACACAGGTAACTCAGATTAGTGAGCTGGAAGACCGACCTCAAGCATTCTTTCATTACCCAGCCCAAAATGAGAAGAAACAAAATGTATGAGAGTGTATGGTAGAAAAGTTAATACATGGAGATGAGATCCAGAAGTTCTAAAATCTGTTTAATAGGAGTTACAGAATGTGGATAAAAGGGAGTAGAGCAAAGAGAGAACTGCAGTAGTCAAATAAATGCTAAAAGAGAATTTTCCTGGAATTCAGTCAAAGACTTGGTGAAAACAGTCCATCCACTGCCAAGTACAAGTAAAATATAAATAAAAAGGACAAAAACTGAAAAGGTTTTGTTTTGCCAAGAAATTATTAAAAGCACCCAATAAAGCTAACTTTCATGCTTATATTCCCAAATACATCACTTCCATCAGTGCACACAGCAATACTGTCGCTTGAAGTTCTTCAACACCATATCCTTCGTCATCGGGCACATCACTCTTGGTCTCTCCACTACCACAAACTTTACAATTTTCATCAGCTCTGCCCTGGGAAATGTGAATAGGGACCTGACAGCTCCATTTACACATCTACCAAAGGTAAAAAGTGAAACTTCCACTCTTTTCAAAGGCTATGTAAAATATACAGTATTGGGCAAAGTGTAAAATGCTACAACCAGACTTAGTTACATCTAGTACAGAAAGGGAGTGTTGCTGTTGTCTTAGCAAGTATGTTACCATATGAACTCAAGGGAATACACCATACTCCTTAAGGGCATTAATTAAAAATTCCTTAAGTAAAGGTTAAAACAGAAGGTGATCCTCTAGGTTTGTCTAAACATATAAAGTACTTTTAGAATCCACACTAGATTATTACTTCTCTAATCACAGCAAAGCAGTGAACTGCCAGATTGTTTTCTGAACTCACCTCAAACCTCCCTACAATTTCAGTCACATTTTCCCCATTTTACAGAGAAGGTAGCTGATGAGATCTCACCACAAACCAAATACTGACCTCAATGCTCCTTTTGCTAAGATAAGCCACTCACATAAATAAATTTTTTAGAGAAAAAAATTTTTTTTAGGAATAAAATTAATGACACTGAGTTAATTGTCCTTCTGTATTAAGGTTTCTTATCCAAATCATCACAGCCCCTCATGTTCTTTCTAAGGCTCAGTACCTCATTTGCTGCAGGGCCCTGGCGGGATTGGAGCCCATTCGGTCCAATTTGTTAATGAAAGTTAGAAAAGGAACGTTGTAGCGCTTCATCTGACGATTAACAGTCATGGTCTGGCACTGCACCCCTCCAACAGCACACAGAACAAGGACTGCACCATCCAACACTCTCAGGGCCCTTTCCACTTCTATTGTGAAGTCCACGTGTCCTAAATGAGACAAAGAAGTGTGTGAGGGTCTCAAAGTATGAATTTTTATAACATGCACGATTACAAGCTTCTGTATCTCTGCTCATGACATTAAGTCTTCTAATTAGAATGCGGATTTCTTAAAACACCATACTGTTTACTCACCACAAGGTCCAGGGGCCCATCTCTTCAAAAAACTATGACAGCATGGGCACCTTTAAACCAGCGACAGTTTTCAAGAGGCAAGAACCTTCCAACTCACAATTTCTTTACACTATTTTTTAAGGAAACCACATAATGATGAAGTGCTCTAGGTCCCAAGTCAGATTTCTCCAAAAGGAATTCACAGTCACACTTTTGAGTATCATTTGACACTCAAAAATGAGCTGGGTCATAGTAAAGAACTAAATGTGCTTTTGTCAAAACAAGCTGCAACAATAAAACCAAGAATTCAACTCACCAGGAGTATCTATAATGTTGATATTGACATCTTTCCACATGGTGTAGGTGGCTGCTGACTGAATAGTGATTCCTCTTTGTCTCTCTAGTTCCATGGAATCCATGACAGCACCAACTCCATCTTTACCTTTCACCTAAACACAAGCACAGCAATTCACAGTCCCCCGTCCCTGCATCCCAAGAAGGAAAGAAATCTTTACTGAGATGGAACTAGAACACAGATAGTTAACTGATGCAATTTTCAGAGAAGGCTATCGTCAGACCATACCATATCATCCTGTGAAACAGAAAAGTGATTACAAGTTTTGCCCTCTATTTACTGTCTAGCCCTCTTTCCATTGCTGTTCCCAGCAACAGCTAACATGGAGCAATCATCTCAGTCTTGTTTCCTCTGCACTGTTCCTGTCCACCAGCCTTGTGGTAGTCCATGAGCAGAAGCTCAAAGAACAGATTTTCCCTGCTCTACGACATGTGGATTTTGAGGCCTGGGTGGGAAGGATTCAGCTTTCAAAATATGTGATTTAGCAAGATGACCTTCATCTGAAGAGTTAAGTTACTCAATGATAATGGTAATTTCTTTAGAAGACTTTCAAGTTAAAAAATTTTTTTCCTGATACATGTATTTTGTGACTATTAACATCATACTATAGTTTTAAAACCCTTTTCCACTTAACATTATAAACATCTCTACATAATATTAAAAAATATGTAAATAATACTTTAACAGCTGCTTAAGAATATATCATATGAATTAACTTTCTAATTGAAGTATAATTGACAATGTTATATTAGTTTCAGGAGTAGACTTAACATTCCTAAAAGACAATCTGCTGAGGATACTCATAGGGATGGTTTCTAGAAAGATTCCTCACAACAACACTGCAAGCCAATTTGAGCTATCTACCCCCTTTGTGATATGACTTTGATAAAGATCCACTGTAACCATTCTTTTAATCTTTCAGGTTTTGTGATGTTTATTAAATCATAACTACTAAACAATTAAAACCAAGCTCTAACTAGCTCGGAATCAACCATGAACCTCATACCTCATGCATCTTTGCAATTCTGCCAGTGTAGTAAAGCACTCGTTCTGTTAATGTGGTTTTCCCAGAATCAATGTGAGCTGAGATTCCAATATTTCGTATCTTTTCATTCGGAATCACTCCTGATGAACACCATCGGTGAACTTTCCAATTAACCTGAAAAAATAAGAGATCAAATCAATGCATTTTTTATAAGAGATAACAGGCAACTAGAATTGGTTTGGTTGGTATCCTTCCACCAACGAATCTCAATGGACACAAAACATCATGTAAAATAGCCTGGAAAGGCAAAAGAGGGAATGCCTCAACCTGCAATTCCTGTAACTAAAGCAGAAACTGCAAGCGAGGGCAGAAAGGACATACACAATCTTAAAAATAAATAAATCAGAAAAATATATTCAAATAAGCTAGTTAAATAAAAGGGAACAGATACTTCTCCGAATGTCACAGGTTTGAAAATATATGCTGAGGCTGATAAAACCAGAAAGACAACTTCCAAAAACTACTTTAATAGGAAACACAGTTTTTGTTTAAATTTCACTCCCCCCCCTTACTGTAGTTCACAGCTAGCAAGGATGTTTTCAAACACTTATGCTCTGTGCTGTGGTGCGGATAGCTCCGAGGTAGCCTACAAAAGGTTTCCAATTCCTTCTGCACAAAAACAATTACTTTTTAAAAAACTATTTCATTTTGGTGGAGGTGGGAGAATCTTGCATTTTACGGAATCAAGACACATTATAAACTTCTCTCTATTGGACTGCACATCCAAAATGTACTGCAGCACTTCGGGGGAAAGGGACACAGAAGAACTTGGAAAAGGTAGGCAAATACTAAATGGATTCTAGCGGACAGGCACTTAGATGAAATTCCATGAATACCAGCAAGCAAACGATGCCTGCATACTAGCAAAGGCTCAACTCCTACCCAAACCTACTCCACTCTGCAACCCCCGCAAAAGGAGAAATACGATCAAAGTACAGTACAGAGAAGTTCGAACGCCAAAACAACCCAGGGTTTGCCCAAAGAGGGCTGTCCAAAGCCCAAGGACACTGTGCAGTAAAAAGAGCACTTGATAATGAGTCAGAAGCCCTGGGTACAAACCCTGAACACACTAATTTTTCAGCTGTTCTGACCGTCACTCCAGTCACTTCCCCCAAAAAGACGCTGAACCATAAACGGCTGGCCCGTCCACTCTCCCAAGGCACCGCGACGCAGCTCATGAATAACGAGAGGATGGGCAGGTACCGAAAAACTTTTCAGCACTGAGGAACGACATCTCGCATCCGGAGCTGTCAGGAGGTCCCACGGAAAGCATCACTGTTCCCTAGCCCTGGAGGGACAGCAAGGTCCCGCATGCAGTCCCTGGTTCGTCTCGCCTCGCCGGGCTCTAGTACCTGCTTCCCCGGCCAGCCCAGGGCGGCGGGGACCCGCGGCAGCGGCCCGCGCCCCAAAGCTGCGGCGGCGGCTGCTCCCAGCAGCCTCATGGCAAGCGCAGAACGGGCGTCAAGGTCCGGTAGCTGTGGTTCTGCTCAGCAACCCGACCCACCCCTCGAACCGCTCAGAGTCACGCCGGCAATCAGTGCGGGAAGAGCGCTTCCGAGTCGAAGGACGCGGGAGAGGGGAGAGGAAAGAGGAGGGACTTCCGGACCTCAGAGCAGAGCAGCCCCGTCCGCTGCTCTAGCGCCGTCTGTGGACTTGGAAGAGAAAGTGCAGTCGCTTTGGCGAGCTAATCATTCGTATGCTCCCGGAAAGATGCAACCTTTTAAACGTGGTTATTTTGCGTATTCATTGTTGCCGTCATGTCTACTTTTGTGTAGGTTTAAAATTTTTTCATAACTTTTAAAAAATCTGAAATGGCTTCCTCTCCCCTTCAAAGTGCATACAAGGCCCTACTTGAACAGCCACACCACTATAGCAATGTAGAGAAATGTTTATAGCAGAATTTAAGTAAAAAAAAAAAAAAAAAAAAAAAAAAAAGAGGGCGCCTGGGTGGCTCAGTTGGTTAAGCGACTGCCTTCAGCTCAGGTCATGATCCCAGGGTCCTGGGATCGAGCCCCACATCAGGCTCCCTGCTCCGCGGGGAGCCTGCTTCTCCCTCTCCCACTCCCGCCGCTTGTGTTCCCTCTCTCGCTGTGTCTCTCTCTGTCAAATAAATAAATAAAATCTTAAAAAAAAAAAAAAAAGAAAAAGAAAAATGGTTATCTGTGTTATTACAAATAGGAAAAAAATAATTATAAGACATGACCCGAAGGGCGCCTGGGTGTTTCAGTTGGTTAAGCAACTCCTTCAGCTCAGGTCATGATCCCAGGTTCCAGGGATGGAACCCCGCGTCCGGATCCCTGCTCAGTGGAGAGCCTGCTTCTCCCTCTGCTCTGCCCTCTGCCCCTCACCAACACCCCAGCCCCCGTGCCCCGCTCATGTTCTCTCTCTCTCAAATAAAATCTTTAAAAAGAAAAAGAAAAAAAAAGACATGAAAAGAATATGGAAAAATGATCAATTATAAGTGTTTTTTCTCATTTCAAAAAAGTTCATTGTTCGATGTTAAACGTAACATATTCAGTCCATATGGAAGACAGCAACCTTGAGAATTCCAGTTAGATCTCAAAGTCTTTGGAACTCAGTATGTCCAAAATGGAGCTTCTCATCTTCCTCCCAAAACCTTCTTCTGCAGTCTTTATTTTGAAAATGGAAACTCCGTTCAAGTTGCCCAGACCAAAAATGTTAGTCACTTCAACACCACTCTTGGACACCTCTGGTCTAATCTGTCGGCATATGTTATAGGCACCACCTTCAAAAATAGATCAGGACCTGCCCTTCTCCTCGCCTCTCAACACTGCCATCTATTTCCTTTATTTTCAATAGCTTCATCAATGAGATGTTCCCTAAACAACTTTTCTAAACCAGCAGGTTCCTCCCTTTCTATCTTCTCATGCTGTTTCATTTTCCTTCAGAACACTTCTTAGATATATCCAGACATTTCACATACCTGTTTATTGTCAGGCTTTCCCAATGGCAATGTAAGTTGCATAAGGAGACTGATTTGGTTTTGTTAATTTCTGTATCCCTTTGCATGTGCTAGGTGCTCAATAAGTATTAAATGAATGTACGAATGAGTACAAATTAATAGAAATCAAAGTACAAGGGACAAGAAAGAAAAATAAAAGTTTAATGATGAATTTCAAATTTACTTTTTGTATGTCATCCATGTATTAATTTGCAATAAACGATTTGTAAACTGATTTGAAGAATAAAGCCATTAATGTTGAATATACCCAATAAGCTTTTTTGCTAATAGACTTTCAAAAATTTCATCTTTATAAGCCTTTTATGTATTTGTTTAAAATATATAAATATGATTATGCAAATGATAATAAAATTAAGGTTACTTTAATTTTAAGATATAATTATGTCAAATAAAACAGTATATCTACTACACTAAAATCACCACTTTTTTAAAAGATTTTATTTATTTATTTGACAGAGAGAGACACAGCGAGAGAGGGAACACAAGCGAGGGGAGTGGGAGAGGGAGAAGCAGGCTTCCTGCGGAGCAGGGATCCTGACGCGGGGCTCAGTCCCAGGACCCTGGGATCATGACCTGAGCCAAAGGCAGATGCTTAATGAACTGAGCCACCCAGGCACCCCTAAAATCACTTTAACAAATAGTTTCCTTAATTAAAAATTCATGCTCATTATCTTGTGTGTATATATTCATATTTTTCTGTAATTATTATGAATATATTATTTTTATTAATCACTTTTAACTTAAGTAATCCATTTTTCTTTACTCCAAAAAAAACTGGAAGACAGAAAACCAAGAACTGTCTAGCTAAATTTTTATGAGTACATATTATAGATTATCTCTGTTAAGGTTTTGTGTGTGTGTGTTTTTAGAGAGAGCTTGCTGGGGGCACAGAGCAGAGGGAAAGAGAGAATCTTAAACAGGCTCCATGCCCAGTGCAGAAACCCTGTGTGGGCTGGATCTCACAACACTGAGATCATGACCTGAGCCAAAATCAAGAGTCAAACACCCAACCAACTGAGCCACTCAGGTACCCCTAAATCTGTTAAGTGGCAAAATACACATATACAGTATCATCCAAAACATTTCCACACTGTTAATTCATAGTCAGTCATTTTATAATCTCTAAGAAAATTGGAACTATCTTCGGTGACCAAAATCTTGTACCAGTTTTTACTTAGAAACTGTCCAAGTATCCAAGGACTAATTTAATATTTTCTAAGCTCTGAGAAAGTTAACTAAGGATTTGAAAAATTACAATTTTAGCTAACACATTTAGTCCTTATAATTAGTAGTATTATCATAATCTTATAAGATTAAAACCCCTTTTTTTTCTTTTGAGAGACAGAGAGAGAGAGAGAGAGAGAGAGAGAGAATGAGTGGGGGTGGGGCAAGAGAGAAGCAGGCTCCTCGATGAGCAGGGAGCCCAATGCATGACTTGATCCCAGGACCCTGGGATCATGACCTGAGCCAAAGACAGGTGCTTAACTGACTGAGCCACCCAGGCACCCAGATTAAAACCTCTTTAAAAGACATCTGTATTTCAATTTTATTTAGATAAACACCATTTTATATTCTGTAATCTTACACAATTGATGGAGTCAATAATAAATTATTTGACCCATAAGATATAGGAAATTTGGAAAGTTTAAATCATGAGTTCAATCTTAGTTTTATATAAACTAGAAGATTTTATTACCATTAAATTTATATAATAAAACCTGGAAGAAGACATATAGTTATATATTCATTCCTGTACCCAAATCCACCTATTTATCAGAAGTATTTCATAAAACTTTTTAAAACATACTTCATAAACTTTATATTCATAATCATTAAATCATATTTAAAAGCTCCTTTTATCTTGAAACCTTTCTTCTTATAATCATACTCACAAAAGCTATTATTTAAATGCACTTGTCCACAATTTTATGCAAAACAGCACAAATAGTTTGACTTTTTCTCTTAGACATTTTAGACTATTTGGACTAGATATTCCTAGATTACACATATGCCAAATGACTTTTTTCTTAATTCATCTTTAAAATTTTTCAAGTGCGGGGTGCCTGGGTGGCTGAGTGGGTTGAGCATCTGACTCTTGATTTCTGCTCGGGTCATGATCTTACAGTCTTGGGATAAGCCCCATGTTGGGTTCTGTGCTCAGCTCGGCAGAGTCTGCTCATCCCTCTCCCTCTGTTCCTCCTCCGACTCACACATGCTCTCTCTTAAATAAACGAACAAATAAATAAAATCTTTAAAAATTTTCAAGTGGGAGGAAAAAATTGGGAGGAACAGGAAAAACAGTGAGCTAGATTGCATATTAAAAATTTTGAGTTTGAGGGGGTACTTGGCTGGCCCAATCAGTAGCACATGTGATTCGATCTCAGGGTTGTGGGTTTGAGCCCCACATTGGGTGTAGAGATTACTGAAAAAAATTAAAATCTTTATAAAAAAAATTCCAGTTTGAGGAAAAATCGATTGCAATCAGGCAGTGGCCAAACAGGAAGTGGTGGTTAGGGGGTCTCCACCAACTAGAGCTAAGGGAGACTTTTATAAAGAAGAGGCAGAAGCAAAGCAAGGAAATTATTTATTTGATTGGCTGGCTATAGCTTAAATGGTTGCCTTATATGGGAAAGCCTAGTTGGCTGTTTGTGATTGACGTCTTTAGGTTTCAATTTCTTTCTTTTTTTTTTTTTTAAGATTTATTTATTTGAGAGAGAGAATGAGAGACAGAGAGCACGAGAGGGAAGAGGGTCAGAGGGAGAAGCAGACCCCCTGCTGAGCAGGGAGCCCGATGCGGGACTTGATTCCGGGACTCCAGGATCATGACCTGAGCCGAAGGCAGTCGCTTAACCAACTGAGCCACCCAGGCGCCCTAGGTTTCAATTTCTTAACCTTGAGGCATAACAGGCTTGTTTTGGTTTGTTTACATGGGCTACTAAGACATTAAAGCCATCTCAGTCTAATGGCTTCCTTAATTAATTATACAAATATTAAAGTATTCCTGTAAAAGGCTAATTACCTTCCCCCTTTCAAGAAGGGAGGAGAAAGTTTAAATATAAACCATACAGTTACAAAGCTCTAAAGCATGGGGGCACTTGGGTGCTTCAGTTGGTTAAGTGTCCGACTCTCAATCTCAACTCAGGTCTTGATCTCAGGCCTGAGTTCAAGGTCTGCATTGGTCTACACGCTAAGCATGGAGCCTACTTAAAAAAAATTCTAAAAAGCTCTGAAGTATGGAAATAAAAGACAGAGAGTCTTTTACATAAACAAAGTGGTCTCTTTTAGACAAATAACACAAAGGCTCTCCTGAGGTTTTGTTTGTTGTTTTTTGGTGTTGTTCTTCCAAGGTGCCTCTCAAGGCAAGTGCCTTGTTCAAGTGCAAGTTTTTTTCACATCCAAGTTCCCCAAAATGGTCACTACAATTCCTTGCTAAAGTTGTGCCAGGAGGTAGTACAAGTCTATCAGCTGACAAACCCATGAAAAACTGCCTGATGTTCCATCAAATGTAAAACACTGACTGCTTATGTCTGTCTCAGGCTTTAACATTAAGCCACATGACTACTGACCTGAGACACATGTGGTTAGAAGGCAACATGGGTAGATAGAAGGTCTCTCCCAAAGCAAACTTCTCATACAAGTGACAAGACTGAGGGAAGTTTTCACAGACAAATAATATAAGATGTTGGGCAAGTAGTCAGAAGATGGGAGATGGTGCTTAAAGTCAAATTCACCAGAGGGCACCAAAGTCTGATCAGAACTCCTAATCCCCAAGAGAAAATAAGCATGATGCTGGGGACAAAGAAATCATCAGAATGCAGATTTACTGCAAATTCCATGTAATCAGGGACAGAGGGGACTCAAGAGGTCTCAGATATGTACATTATTACTAAATTGAAGATCCTAATTCACTGCCGTGAGGGTCTATGTCACACTTCAGTAGAATCTCTAAATTTTCCTAGCCCTATCAGCCTAAGACCACTGTCTTAGTCCATTCAGGCTGCTATAGCAAAAAAACCATAAACAATATAATGGCTTATAAACAATAGGAATAGAAAGGGTAAGGGGGGGGACACCTGGGTAGCTCAGCTGGTTAAGCATCTGCCTTCGGCTCAGGTCATGATCCCAGGGTCCTGAGATCAAGCCCCATGTCAGGCTCCCTGCTCTGTGGGGGAGCCTGCTTCTCCCTCTCCCTCTTCATGCTGCTCCCCCTCCTTGTGCTGCCACTCCCCCTGCTTGTGCTGTCTCTCCCTAATAAATAAAATCCTAAAAAAAAAAAAAAAAGGTAAGGGAGCTCTCTCTAGTGTCTCTGTTATAAAGGTACTAATCCTACTCAGGAGGGCTCCACCCTCACGACCTAACCACCTCCCCAAAGCAACATCTCCAAATACCATCATCATTATATTACCACATTTAGGGCACCATCTGATTCTTTTTTAAAAAATTAACATATAATGTATTATTTGTTTCAGAGGTACAGGTCTGTGATTCATCAGTCTTCCACAACACACAGCGCTCACAACACACACCCTCCCCAATGTCCATCACCCAGCCACCCCATCCCCCCACCCCCCTCCCTCCAGCAACCCTCAGTTCCAATGTGCTCCTGCCCTTGCCTTGTGACGTAAGGGATAATGGAGTCATAAAGGTAGAGTAATGGAAACCTATCACTGAGACTGCCAGGTACCAGGAAAATCTCTAATGTAGCAAGGAGTGTTAAGTATGCAACTTGGCCTCATTGCCAAGGCCACATTCCCCAAATTGTTACTATCTTCCCATTCCCAAAAGATCCAGGGTTCCAGAAAGATCAACGGTTGTCCACAAAGGAAAAATAATATGAACTGTATACAAGCTACAGAGAACCTTCTTTCTTATATGGTTGACTTCAGCAGTATGGTAAAAATAATTCTGAAAAGAGGCAATTTCAGCAACACTGAATATGAAGAATTGACATTTAATCTCTCTATGTCACAGTTTTATGAGTGTCCCCTTATGAAGCACTGTGGAATAAGAAGAAATATATATTTAATTCAATTTTTATTTACTTTCTATGGTAAATAAATTGGGAGAAAAAATAGCTGTAAATGCTCTAACTGCTATATGATGAGTAGAAGTTATACTGGGTTTTTTTTGTTTTTTTTTTTTTAAAGATTTTATTTATTTATTCATTAGAGACAGAGAGAGGCAGAGGGAGAAGCAGGCTCCCAAGGAGCAGGGAGCCCGATGCGGGACTCGATCCCAGGACCCTGAGATCATGACCTGAGCCGAAGGCAGACGCTTAACCATCTGAGCCACCCAGGCGCCCCGAAGTTATACTGTTTTAAATACAATTATTTATTAAAGTATGTTTTCATATTTGAATATAATGATTCAAATTATCATCAGTGTAACGATTTAGGCAGAAGAAGAATATTGTCTATTGGGATTTTGCTCTATCAAGTAAATTTATGCAAAAGTATTATTTAGAATTTATGCCTTATGACAACTTCCCAATATGTTATTATTATACTAAAGTATGAATAAGAGGAAAATGTTAACATCTTTAATTAATACGTGCTCAATTACTTTTTCTTATAAAAATAAATTGATATGTATGTATCTTACTTTGGTAACTAATTACAGGCATGAAACACACTGACTAATAAAATTAACAGGATATAATATGGAAAATTAGGAAAGTATAAGCACAATAACATAGTTCTGTTTCCAAACTGAAGAAAGCAAGATATTAGGATTATAAAGTGATAGTGGATTTTATGTTCTTTTTCCTCCTGTAAGGGTTAAGATTTTATATTCTCATAAACTTTAAACTTTCTAAAAACGGATTAATGCTTGAATTCTAGAATAAAAAAGCTAAAGCTGAATTTTTAAATGGTATAAAAGGAACAACTGAATTACTAAGTACCTTGCTCAAACACACATATCACCTGTCTAAGAAATTTTGAGACAATCAATCATTCAGGTTTACAGAATACCAAATGCATTTTTCTAAATGTCACAAAAAGGCTGAGCAGAGTTTCTCCAAGGACACTCCAACTTTAGAATGTTAACTGTGGAGACAGATTAAGCTGTTTGTGGGAAAGGAGAGGAGAAATATACTACCTTAAGAAGTTAAAGAGAAAGGTCAATGTAAAGTCTGATGAATGTTAAGAATGTAATATGGAACAAAAAATAATACAGTGTATAAAGAAATTATAAAGAATAAAACTCATATATTAGCAATTTAAAATCTCCTTAAAATTCAGAATTATTTGATTATTCGTTATTACCAAAATAATAACTAATTTCTCATAAAATAGTACTAGTATAATTTTGCTTTATTTTTTTTTTAAACTTAAAGCTAGCTGGCTGGGGCACCTGGGTGGCTCAGTCGTTAAGCGTCTGCCTTCGGCTCAGGTCATGATCCCAGGGTCCTGGGATCAAGCCCCGCATCGGGCTCTCTGCTCAGCAGGAAGCCTGCTTCTCCCTCCCCGACTCCCCCTGCTTGTATTCCCTCTCTCGCTGTGTCTCTCTCTGTCAAATAAATAAATAAAATCTTAAAAAAAAAATAAAGCTATTGGCTATATAACACATAAAATCTGATTTAAATAATTTTACCTTTATTAACATCACTGTAGTATTGTGTTAGTGAAAACAGACTATTTTTTAACATTTTACTTTCTTATAACTAATACATATGATAAAACTAGCTCTACAATCGAATATATAAAAGAAAACATAGCCAATAGGAAGATAATTGGGAAAGCAAAATCAGCTTTAAAAATTAGTATGTTTTAAAGAAAAGAGTTTTATAGAATGTTTAGCAACTTAAGGTGTTGAAAATCAAAGTTTTATTCCTAAAGTATGGACAATATAAAGCTAGCACTTCCAAGAACATTCAGATATCAGAAGAAAGTTAAGTACAGTACATTTAACAGTGATTTAACAAGAGATTGGTCTTACGTGTATTACCCAGCACCATTACTTTCTCTGTTAAAACAATCAAAACTAAACAAATCAAATGCAAGGCTATTTATTTTTTGTTGATTTTCACAGGTGATCCTTTGATGTTGAGTTTGTCCACAAAAACATTTGATCTTCTTCCACGTTCAATGGCTGGACTCTGATGAGGTTTCTCCCTGAGAAATATAAAATGAACATAAATACCATTTTTTAAATGGCCAGTAGTTTACAAATCAATACAAACATGATAAAAAAAAAAAACACTGTACTTTATGGAGAGTTTTATCTAAAACTTCCATAATAGCTTTGAAAAATATATGGGACATTATTTCATTAACATTTAAGAAAGCAACAGCTGCTTTCCTGAGATAGATTTAACTGTTTAACCATGTCATCCAACATGGCAGCCACTAGACACATCATTAACACTTAAATTAATTAAAATAAAGTTTAAAACTCAGTTCCTCAGTTGCATCAGCCACATTTTAAGTGTGGTTCAATAGCCACATGTGGCTAGTGGATGCCATATTGGGCAGTATAGATACATAACTTTTTCTTTATTACAGAAAATCATTCCAGAAAGTTCTAACGGACAGTGCTGGTTTATAGAAAATGCCACTGATAGGGCCACAGATTTACAGATCGTCTATAAAGAGCATGCTTTCTCTAACAGGGACCTGGATTTCATAGTCAAACTTAGCACTGTAAGGTTTTTTATCAATAAACTTTTCAAAGTTAGATAAATATTGTCTAAAAGTAATACAGAAGCTAATTTTCTACAGAAATTAGGGTTCTAAATTCCTAAATAAGTATTTTAAAATAAAAGATGCTAGCTCATGAAATTCTGCACAAGTCTTCTGATTTACTTGACACCCACTTGTCCACCGCTGGTTCTGTGAAGCCTTCCACCTTCTGCAGCAATCCTCCACTCTCTTATGGCCTAGAACAGATTTCTGTTTTAAGGCCTGGTGAGGCCTCTCTCTCTCAAGTGTAAACTTAATAGGAACTAGGTATTGTTTTCCATTTTTACCCCAGAGAACCAAATTAAATTCCAACTCTAGAATATACATTCAATGTACAAAAATCTCTATAATCTTTAAGATGTGGTTTCAGCACAGCTATTCCAAAGGTAATCTCAAAGGAGGCTAAAGTTTTAGAAAAATTCTTCCAAAATAGCTAGTATCTAATGCCTAATATAGGTGCAGATAATGTTATATACTATACAAGTATCTAAAAATGCATTTGCCATTGACTTATGAGGAGAGTTTTGTTAAGCCTTTCAAATAGAGCCCCTCTCTCCTTATCATATCTCTAGATACCAATATCTTTACCTGGCATGAAATGTATGACTCCTACTATATCCAGATTAAAATCCGCTTTACAAGAATAACTAAATTATGGTATTTCACTTTTCCTTAGAAGGATTTTAGCCCCTATCTTTTGAAGCATAATTTGCTAGTGAGTTACTAATCATACAATCTTAAAATATTATTTGTTTTTAGATACAAATTTAAATTTGTGTGGAATGCTCAGATACAATGTAAAATCATTACATCCTTCACAAAAGATACTGCTGATACAAAAAATGGATGTTAATAAAAACTTCCTGATACAGAAGTAAAATTATGTAATTTTTCTCCTAATTCTTCTTAAAAAACACAATTTATTTTAGAAATAACTTTACCTTCTTTTAAGTTCTCGGCAGCCTGAATTCTCATGACCAACACTTTGCATCCTAGGGTTTTCTACATTGCGCCAAGGCCCCACTGGTTTGTACTTCAAAATCTCATTTTGCCACTCATTGTCAAAAGCATGAGCATCACCTACATGAAATATCAAAATAAAGGGGCAAGTATTAAGATACAACTGTCAGTAACTGCCTTGGCTCCCACATACTTGATTTTGGCCTTGTGCTTCAGACAGAGGCAGGGAACTGCTCCAAATATAAAGGTCTTTGATTCAGAGTAATATTTCCTTTTTTGTCTGTTCCTCTTTTATTCCTATTGATAATTTGATTATTGATGATCTGGTTTTTCATGCACCTGGCTTGGATATCATATTATTCTAGCCAATGAACCCTTTGACCCAATTACACTTATAGTCTTTCTTCCTGGGTCATCTTCCTGGTGATCATGCTTTTCCTCGGTACTTGGGCACTTCTACTGTAACTAACATGTCCTATTAACCTCACTGTTTTCCTACATAATAACTTGGCCTACCTCGCAAGCTTCTGTTGTCAATTTCCTAAAACAGCTTACTCAACTGTCAATTTGTTATGAAGTAGGCAATCTAATTTCAATAACAACAATAGGTAAATGGTAATACTTGTTCTATCAGATGGCCTTTATAATAATAATGTGTTTCCTCACTGAATTTTTCTTCAACATGTTAATTATTGTGAAGTACTCTGTATATATTTAACTATGACAAAACTACAAAGTTTAAAATTAAAGAAAGGTTAAGATGTTGTAGCTTCCATCTCATTGCATAAAAATAATTTTCTCCAAGCCAACCCTAAGAGAATTTCTTTTTCTGAAATGATATGATAATTTAAACCATTTCCATTTAAATAATTTAAATTTAAAGTGACAAACACTTTTATTCAAAATACTTTTTGAAAGTAGGAGATGAATATAACCCAAAAACTACAATGAGAAGAGTTAGGCCACTGGAAGGACTTAAATGCATTGAAGAATGAATATAAAACCTAGAAAATGGAGGGGCGTCTGGGTGGCTCAGTCGTTAAGCATCTGCCTTCGGCTCAGGTCATGATCCCGGGATCCTGGGATCGAGCCCCACATCGGGCTCCCTGCTCAGCAGGAAGCCTGCTTCTCCCTCTCCCTCACAATCTCCCTCTCTCATATGTCTCTGTCAAATAAATAAATAAATAAATCTTAAAAAAAACAAACAAACCTAGAAAATGGAAAGACATACTTGATACAAATCAATACAAGAAATTAAAATCTTATCTATACAAAAACTTAAGTGCCCAACAATACAGAATGATTTAAATAAATTACGGCCCATTCATGAGAACTTTTAGGTAACCATTTAGAATGTTTTTGAAAAACAACATCATAGGTGACTGTTTTCACAGTTATAATGGTGAATTAAAATAGGCACAATATAAACTAGATAGTAAAATACTAACTTTGAGAAAAAGTATATGTGTTAATATATACATAAAACTATTAGGAAGAAATACATTAAAACATTAATAGTTATTTTGGGGTGGGATTATGGATAATTTTAGTTTTCTTTATTCTTTTTCATATTTTTCAAATATATCTTAGAAATATTTAAAAACTCATTTTGCCTACTGGCAGTCTTACTAAATGACAATTCCAAAAGATTCCATTTTCCATGTATAAAACAAAAAATAAGTAACATTACCAAAAATCACTATAAAAAAACAAATCTACTATGAAACAATGAAACCACAATTTTATTACTTTGATAAGGTAGTCCCTACATATTATTCATAAACTACCTTGAAATGACATCTTATGGAATGTTTCTACAAAAAACATTCATCAAGTTCTACCAGTATTTTAAGAGGAAGAATGCTATTTTCTGTGACAACTTACTTTCGTTCATATTGATGAACTCTTGATTGAGCTCTTCATCTCCAGTCTTGTTGTTCTTTGACTTTTTAATGACATGAGCTCGGTCATGAAGATGATGACCAACAGCCATTTTTTCTAGTCCACTATCAGAATCTCTCATCGCTTTCCTAGTTTCCTTTATCTGTAAAAATGAAGTAAATAAAAATTAGTTATTATTTAAATATATAGAGGATGGATATAATTCTCAACTCCTCAGGACCTGTTTACTTATAGAGGTAAGACCATAAATCTACAGCTCTAAAAAACTGGGTACTCAGTTCCACTACCAACTTGCAGTAAAATTGTGGTAATAGTTCTCTGATATTTTAAAAACTGCTTAAAATTAAAATGTCTAGGGCAAATGAACCAATACAATTTAAACTTTTTCTAAATTGTAATCAAATGACATAACAAATAATAACCTAATTATATAAAACTTAGTGCCTTCAACACTGTCCTTAATAGTGTAATAGTTGGGAGTACATCCCTCTAAGTAAGGGCAACTGATTATTTAGCAGTCATGTTGATGGCCTTGAATCTCATGGCTCCTACATATCAACTCTATGGGTTATGAGAATATTCATGATAGCCAAAGACTATTAATATTAGCATGGTTTGCTGTGGGATGTCAACAATTAAATTGTTTACATTTAAGATGTATGTTACTTACAGCAAGTTAAGATGAAAATGTGTGCACTATGGCAAGAGCATCATTAAAAGGTATGTCTTTATATGTAAAAACTAAAAAATGGACTATTCACATGCATTAAACAGGCAAACCTAATTTTTTTTTTACTATAAGTACTAATGAGGAAGCGTAGAAATAGGAACTCTCATACTAGACTCCATGGGAGCTAACTGTTTCAATCACTGTGTGATAGTAACTTAGTAATTTTTAGGTAAAGATGAAGACATCCACCTCCTACAAACCAACAATACCATTCCTAAACCATTTGCACAAGGAGACATGTATAAAGATAAATGAAAAATTAGAAATACCTAAAAATCAATCAACAGAAAAACAGATTAAAAACTGTGGTGTATCCATATTTTGGTTAATATATAGAAGTCAAATAAACAGAGCTATATGTATAAACTTGAATAAATCTCAGAAACATTACTGAGCACAGTCAAGCTGCAGAAGACACATGCAGCATGAAATCATTTATATAAAGTTTAGAAACCCATAAAATAATTCATTATATTGCTTATGAAGCATACATAAGTAATAAAATTATAAAAACATACATAAGAATGATAAGTTCCAGATACAGGAAAATGGTTCTTTTGTGGGGAGGGAGTAAAAGGGAAAAAAGGAACCAGGGAGGGAAGAGTGCACTGAAAGCTTTAACTGCATCTAATATTTTTGCTTAAAAACAAAAAAAATAAGGGACAACCTAAAGCAAATAGAGAAAAATGTTATGAGTTGACTAAACTGGGTGGAAGGAATGTGGGTATTTATTACATTATTTTCTATATCTTTTCTGTACACTTGAAGTATTTCATGAGTTAAAAAATTCATTTACTTCAGGGGCACCTGGGTGGCTCAGTTGGTTGGGCGACTGCCTTCGGCTCGGGTCATGATCCTGGAGTCCTGGGATCGAGTCCCGCATCGGGCTCCCTGCTCAGCAGGAAGCCTGCTTCTCCCTCTGACCCTCCCCCCTCTCATGTACTCTCTCTCTCTCATTCTCGCTCTCTCAAATAAATATAAATAAATAAATAAATCTTTAAAAAAATTCATTTACTTCAGATACAAATTAAAAATAGATATTTATTTCATGAAGCAAAGACTTCTTTTAATGTCTACTTATCTGGTCAACATGTAAAGGTAATAATAAACATCAATAGATATTTACATGAAAAAAGGCATCTGAGGTGGAGGGGGAGAAAAAAATGCCTTAAACTAAGTAAATACAGTTAGCATTATTGTGTTTCACAGTGATATGTGTCTTCTTCCCTCATCTCTACCCGCAGAGTACCAGATCAAGCTTAAATAATTAAAATCCGATATAGGTGATTGATAGATTTCACATTCCACAATTCCACTTTATAAAGCTCCAAAAATGCTGAGAAAATACTTACTCCTCCTGGAGCCCTACGGGTTTGAGTTGAGGCCTGGAAAACCTTTGGTGGTTCATCTCCTACTTTGGAATAAGTCATAACTGAGGAAGAACTAAATGAATGTCCATTTGGATCCACTGAAAGGTGACCCTAGAGATAAATATAAATTGTCAATCCAGAGAGTTTAATCAGATATGAAGAACTGACTTTAGAGGATTCAAATAAGTAACAATACTAGCTAAAGTTCTACTAAGGATACCATACTATCAATATGGTATATCCAAATGGCAGCCCCAGGAAGGTCCTCACCTCCTTCCATTTTAGGTACCAATTCTCACTCTTCTTGTGAGGAATAATAGGAAGTGACTCACTCAGAGATCCTTAAGTCTTTGTGATCAAAGACTTGCAGCTTAGATTTAAATATAGATGCTGTGCCCTGAAGCCTATGATGCTTTTATAGTCAGTGGTTGACCCTTGTGTGCAATTTTGCCAATGCTGAGCCAATTAGCCATATACCAAGAAGTTTTATACCTCCTGTGGGTACCAGATTGCTAGATTATGAAAATCATTAATAATGCCCTAGATTTGGACATTCTGAAACAATCCTTAGATTCTAAACTGGATGACTAAAATGAGTCTTCTTCATATTGAATCAAGTTAATTTTTTAATGTTAATATTTTGAGTAGAAAAGTAAGAGTATTAGCACTAGTTTATAACTATTTGGACTTTATGGATCTAATCCAATGCCTAAACATCATTCCTGAAATTTCTGTTTTCAGCTTTTTTTAAGAAAACACTAAAACTTAATTTCCTAGATGCTACAAATCCTTTTAAGTAGACAAGCTAAAAATAATTAAAAAGTCTAAATTCATATAAAATGTGCATTTACAATAGTGACCTTCAGCAGGGTAAATGTTTTTGAGGTTGTGTTTTTTTTAATTTTGAAAGTTAATTAATGCAAACTCATAGGTTGTGAAATCAATTTGGTGGGTTGTGACTAGGATTTTTAAAATATGAACTAAAATAGAAAATATAAACACACACTGTAAATAGTATGATCATTTTCTCACAAAAATTGTTTCAGGTTTATTTATACAGTACACAAGTATTATGTACTGGGTCATACTGTTAAGATATATTTTTCAACCACTGTGGACCACGATTAAAAAAAAGTTGAAAGCCACTATAATATAGGGTATCAATAACTGAAAATAATGTTCTCATCAATTTTTTAGTACTTACAAAGTTTCTTTGTAATTCCTGCATACTGTTTCGCATATTTAACATCATTCGGTCCATTGCCTGAAAAGGGTTGACATCTGTACGCTACAGGATATTAGGAAGTATGTTATTAACTATTAGTACAACACAAAAGAAGCAAATCAACCTTCCCAAAACAGCTGAAATTTTTTTCTTGATTTACGCAGTGGGAGCTCATGCAGCAATCGACCAGGCAAAGATAATTTAAGGACTATACAAAAAAGCGATTTGTTAAAGAAAAAATGGAAGCATATACAAAATCTCAAACAGTCATTATACAAATGATTAGGGAGTTGCAACACTATAAATACATGCATACATACATGTGTGTATATACACACATATATACATGCATGAACATATAAACACATTTATCAACTTTCTCAAAACACAATTTGGTTAATATTTAAATACTGAATGGTGTATTCTGGGCTGGGACAACTCTAGCATAGACTAGTTTTCAAGTTTTTCCTTCTTTCCTCTCAGTAGAATCTCACCATGCAAATCAATAAAACTTGGGTATAAGATACCAACGTCACTTCCACCAGTACGACACAGCTGATAGAAACTGCCTCTGAGATCTTCAGCTCTCCTTTACATAAAAGGATCCAAGTGAGAGAGGTTAATTCACTCTACTGGTAGGCCTGGAATTTGCTGCCTACCACAGAAGGCTCAGTAGAACATTCCCTTGAGGCACAGCATACGCTTCTTTAGAAGAATAGTTAATTCTTCTAGAACTGTGGTTTCTTAGTCACAATTGATTTTGACTCCCAGGGGACATTTGTTCATAATTACATGCATTTTTGTGTGTCATAACTGAGGAGGGTGTATGACTGTCATCTGCTGAGAAAAGGTCAGGGACACTGCTAAAATCCTATAAAGATTGGACAGCCCCCCTAGAACAAGAATTATCTAGTCTAAAATGTCAATGGTGTCAGGGGCTGAGAAGCTCTGCTCTAGAAAAATCTCCTATTGATTTTAAGTTTTACCATTAGAACACTCAGGAGAAATTAAAAAGTGAAGCACACCTTTTAGTGTGCCACCTGATGCATTGTTTACTATTATAAAACAGAAGGAGCATTTGATTCAAGGAACTCCTCTACTCAAACAGGAGTCTTTTGAATCCTGTAAGGCACTGTAGTTCAATGCCAGTATTTCAGCCCCTCTAGAGATTCTTTTGCTGTATGCCAAGCTGGGACTCAATAAAGAATTATCAAAGGCCTGTCTATGTCTCTGCCTTCCAATGGGTTGTTATTACTTGTAACAAAGGGAAACAGATGGGAAAACCAAATTCTCCTTTAGAACCTGCATTTAACACCACAGGGAACAACAAAGGCACATTTAGGAGATACTGATATATCTTTGGGCACACAAAGGACTGCAGTAGAATTAATCTGCATTTCAGAGATTCAACCCAATTCAGGAAACATTCTGAACACTTTGTTTCAACACCAGGTTGAGAAATCAGGGCCATATAAGAGATACAATTCATGAAAGTTGGAAGGGCTAGCCCAAATAAGAAGAGGAGAAGATGGAAGAAAAGATCAGATGTTTGGGTATATTCTGCCCTTTTCTCAATTCACTGTCAAATCAAAATGTATCTGTACTTGCTGTGGGGTGGCCCAGCACCTTGCAGTGACAAAAAGTGTGGGTACAAATTAGAGGTAAGATTCCAGTGGGCTCCTAAGGTCTTTGGGAACTTTGTACACATGCTCTTCTCTCTGTATGAATGTTTTTATCCTGACTCTCAGCGTAGTTTCTTCTCATCATTCCAGTACCAACTCCTTAAAAGGGCCACCTGCAAAAGTAATCTCTGCTTCACCTCCCATCTGTCATTATATCTTGCCCTGCTTCATCTCCTTCAGAGTACTTTGAAGTACTTTATCTGAAATTATTTTGTTGTTTATTGCCTGTCTTTCCACTCTGTAGAAATCACCTTTGTGAAGAAGGCAGGGCTATCTTCTCTGTCTTATTCACTACTATATTCTCAATACTTTTAAAATAATTCCTGGCACATAAGGAGGGCTCAATAAGTATTTGCTGAATGAATGAACAAATTAGCTCTAGCTCAGCTCAAACCCATATATTCAATTGTTCACCAGATAAATCCACCTGGACATACTATGGATGCCTCAAATGCCCAATACCCCAAACTGAAATGATCCTTTGACCGCCCCTGCTCTCATTCTGTATGAATGCACTGTTCCTTAGCTCAGGGGCATTACCATCTAGCTAATTCCTCATGCCAAAAAATGGGCATAATACTTTCCTTTTCCCTCTTTACGTTCCTTTCAACCCAGTAAACCCCAAAGTTTTACCCATTCACCTCTTTAACTCTCAAATGAGACACCACAGCCATTGCCCAAGTAGAAGCCATTACTAGTATTTCCCAGAACACTTTAATAGCCTCCTGGCCTCCCTGCCTCAACTATGGTCCTTCCCAATCTCTCCTTCCCTTGAAGGCACAATAATATTTCAAAAATGAGAACCTGCCTCTATTACCATTTTGGTGAAAATTCATCAACTGCTTCCCCTGTTCTTAAGATAATGTCCACAGTCCTTACCAGGACAAAAGAAGTCCCTGGTTACCATCCATCCCATCTTTATCTACTCTCTAACTCATGCTCCAGGGCCAAGTGATCCTAACATCTTTGAGCTCCCTAGCCACCAGGTCTTTGCACATGCTGTTTCTTCTGTGTTGAACACTCTTTTTCTCCTCTCCCTTCTTTTCCTGGCTAATTCCTATTCAACCTTAAGGTTCCAGAAATCTCTGATTAACCTTCACACCACCACCCTAACACATCAAAAGGTCTGGGTAATAGGTTTTTTTCTATCTGTGCTTCCATAGCATGTGGAACTTCCTGATCATTTTACTGATAACTCTGTGCTATAACTGCTTTTTTAATTTGTCATTTGTCCCACTGAAAACTCTGGTCAGAAAGGACAAATGTGGCATGTCAAACTTTAAGGAGACAAATGGCTTAAGTCTAACACAATAAAAAGAAACTTTTTCATAAGAGAATAGATGCATCCATAGGAAATGTTCCAAAGTCATGCTATTCTCTGCTACTCCTCAGGCTGCTGCTTTTAAGTGTATTAGAAACTAGCATCACAGAAAAGAAAGAGGAGTGGGAAGAAAGCTAGTTGTAGAATAGCCATACTTAGATGTGGGAACGGAAAAGCAGCATGAACAAACTAACTTTAGAGTCCTAGAAAAAGCAGAAAATCTGAGCTTCTCCAAATGTGCTCCTCTAGCTACAGTTTGGTGCTTTATCATCTTTTGGAAAGTCATCATAAGCATGTGGAAGTGTCCAAACTTTCAAACAAACTATGGGGATCCCTTAATCAAGTGAATATTCATCTATTAAACTGTATTTTTTCTTTTTTGAAGACTGATTTTATATATGCTGATATATGCATGCCTGAATACTCTAAGATTAATACATAAACAGGTTTCACTACAAATTCTAAAAAGCTATTTTGAAAATAAGTGAAACTGCATGCCAATTCACTTTGCTTGAGTTAATGAAAAACAAATATTTGTCAGAAAATATTGCTAAAATGGTTTGTGTCTCATGATACGAACCATACCACCAAAACTGCCAAAAGGCACAAGAGAATTCATTGCCTAGAAAAAAAAATCCAGTTAATTTTGGTTATGATATTTATTATATAGTAATCCCCAAAAAAGAAAGAAATGTTCCCCAAAAAAGAAACATAGTTCAGAGCTGACAAAGTTTTAAATCATTTAATAAAAAAATCCTCAACATATATTTTAAAAACTATCCACTTATTATTCATCATAGAACCTGACAGGAGCCTGGCAGACAAATGGGGAGACCATATACCACTTTTAAATATGACTACTGTAGTATTTACCAAAGGTAGTTGAAAGAAGAAGTCTTTGCTATAGATTAATACAAACATTTCTCAATGGAAATGCAAATTCACACCAAAATTAATTAAAACATAAGGTACAATGATTAAGATCTCATCTTTCCTTTGCTCAACTATTCCATATTTTTAAAAGATGAGTTAAACTTATTTATAACTGATTAAAAATAAGCAATTATCTACATTAATAACATTTCAAAAGTAGAGATATTGGGCAAAAAAATTAATGAATACCTCCTAAGAACTAATACATGGAATAAGAAAAAAAAAAAACTTCAGAAAGGATCACACACAGATTTAAAAATATGTAGGGTCTTTTTTCTTTTTTTCAAGATTTTATTTATTTATTTGACAGAGACACAGCAAGAGAGGGAACACAAGCAGGGGGAGTGGGAGAGGGAGAAGCAGGCTTCCCGCGGAGCTGGGAGCCTGATGCAGGGCTCGATCCCATGACCCTAGGATCATGACCTGAGCTGAAGGCAGACGCTTAATGACTGAGCCACCCAGGCGCCCCTGTAGGGTCTTTGATAGGCAAAAGAATGTTACAGAATTATCTAATAGTTCACAAATTGTATTCCTCAATAGGTACAGATAAGTAAAAATAAAATTTTAGACAGACATATATACAAATTAAAAACTTTCATTACTTGGAAGTTTCAAATATTAAAAATAAAATTTAAATTTTTGGGTAAATGGTATATATAAAATTTTACCATCATTCAGTGATAATTTTCTCCTTGTGTAAATTTTGTTGAAAAATAGAGAAAACTGTGTATTTATATTAAATTTTATAATAAATTATATCAGATGATATATATTTATACTACATATTTAGAACAGTAATCTCCAAAGTGTATTGGACGCATCAATACAATTTCTCTATTTCCTTTCACTGAAAATAAAAACATTGTAGATTGACTCTGGTGCCATCACTCAATCTAAATATTAGGTCGCATGTCATACCTTGAATTATAAACTGCTTAATATATTTACAGATTAAATTATCTAGTTTTAGGGGCATCTGTGTGGCTCAGTTGGTTGGGCAGCAGAGTCTTGATTTCGGTTGGGGTCATGGTCTCAGGGTTGTGGCATCAAGCCCCAAGTCTGGCTCAGCACTCAGTGCGTAGTCTGCTTGTCCCTCTCCCTCTGCTCCTCCCTCTGCTCCTCCTCCCTCTCATGTTCTAACTCTAAAATGAATAGGTAAAATCTAAAAAATTTAAAAATTAAAAAAAAATTATCTAGTTTTAAACAAAACTAATCCTGGGTGCCTGGGTGGCTCAGTTGGTTAAGCAACTGCCTTCGGCTCAGGTCATGATCCTGGAGTCCCGGGATCGAGTCCCGCATCGGGCTCCCTGCTTGGCGGGGAGTCTGCTTCTCCCTCTGACCCTCCTCCCTCTCATGCTCTCTGTCTCTCATTCTCTCTCTCTCGCAAATAAATAAATAAAATCTTTAAAAAAATAAAATAAACAAAATAAACAAAACTAATCCTCCCAAAATGGAAAAGTGGCTTAAAAATATCCCCATAAAGAAATCGTGAACTGAAGAAAATGCTAATAATATAAACAAGAAAAGAGCATAGCTGATGTTTCCCCTACTTTTGTAGGAGTCTTTGTTTTCCTTCATAAAATGGCTGACAAAGATGACAAATGTCAGAGGGCCTGGGTGGCTCAGTTGGTTAAGCATCTGACTGTTGATTTCAGCTTAAGTCACAATCTCAGGGTCATGAGATCCAGCCCAGCATCAGGCTATGCGCTGGGCATGGAGCCTGCTTAAGATTCTCTCTCTCTCTCCCTCCCCCCTCCAAAAAAAGACAAATGTCAAGTAATGGGCCAAAAATAAAGAAAAAATTATCAAGATGTCTATCTGAAATACAGATTTTCATCCACTATGCTTAAAGTCAACAGCATAATGGCTCACTGCTTAATCAAAACCCTCATTTAGGGCGCCTGGGTGGCTCAGTCGTTAAGCGTCTGCCTTCGGCTCAGGTCCCTCTCCCACTCCCCCTGCTTGTGTTCCTGCTCTCGCTGTGTCTCTCTCTGTCAAAAAAATAAATAAAATCTTTAAAAAAAAACAAAAACAAAAACAAAAAAAACCACTCATTTAAAAACTTGTAGCTTAGGGCACCTAGGTGGTTCAGTCGGTTAAGCTTCGGACTCTTTCATTTCAGCCTCTTCATTTCCACTCAGGTCATGATCTCAGGGTCCTGGGATCCAGTACCGTGCTCAGCACCAGGCTCCACGCTGAGTCTGCTTAGGATTCTCTCTCTCCCTTTCCCTCTGCCCCTCCCCACACTCATGCACACACTCTCTCAAATAAGAAAAATCTTTAAAAATTTTTAAGAAAACTTTACAGCTTCACTAGAGGGAGAAAGAAGCTTTCTATGGATTTTTATTAGTTTAAATGGACTAGAACAGCTAGCATGCAAAAAAGCCTATTGTTCTCTTGGCTGTGCTCTTTTCAAATAGCAGCAGTCTTTCCATCTTCTGCAGTCAATTTCTAACTTCTGTTCCTACTTTCACATCTAGTTATAAAACACTGACTTAGAAAAGTTCAAGTTGGCATAGAGGTCTTTTGTTGCTATTGTTTGTTTGTTTGTTTTTGTTTTAATTTATTAAAAAATTTAATTATTAATTTATTTTAAAATTTTTATTTATTTATTTTTGCTATTACATTTAGTCTTTCACATTTAGACATACACATATCCCATATCACACCCTATGGGATAAAAGAAAAGCCATTTCTCACCAGTATAAATTATAAAATGAGTTTTGGCTAAAAGAGAGGCTGAATGTTCCTTGGAAAATCTGCTGTAACTCTGCTGTAAATCTATATTTTAAAAATTACTACTGCCCTAGGACAATATTCAGTACTCTTGGCTGGCAAAGGGTTTTCATACAGCTTGAACAAGAAAAAAGTGCATTGGTGTTAGCATTCTAAGATAGTTGATACAGTATAATGTCTTTTTTTTTTTTTAAGATTTTATTTATTTGACAGATAGAGACATACGAGAGAGGGAGATTGTGAGGGAGAGGGAGAAGCAGGCTTCCTGCTGAGCAGGGAGCCTGATGTGGGGCTCGATCCCAGGACCCCGGGATCATGTCCTGAGCCGAAGGCAGACGCTTAACGACTGAGCCACCCAGGCGCCTCTAATGTCTCTTTTTCCATTGGGAATAAAATTGTCACTTCTTCCTTCTTCCACAAAAGCTACAAGTAGCTCATTTACGCACATAAATACAAAGTACTATATAGAGCCTTACTTCTGCCCTGCTATGGTTATAGCAGACAGACAAAATATTTCAATGCTCATGTGAAAGATAACATTTCAGAATGTCTTTATAAGTGATATTTCTGCCCTCCTTGATAATTTTTCCTTAGATCTTGATTTTAGACTTTGGAAATTGATAGCCCTAAATGTAAAAAAAATATATATATATATATATATATAAATATATAAATATATATATATAAATACCACTATTCACTAATTGAAAGAAAACAATTGGAATATGAGTAATACATATTGGAATACTAAGAAAAAGAATGTGAAAATTTCATTTATATGGTAAATCTAATTTTATCCACCAAACTTCTTAGGAGTATTTGAAATATTCAGCCTCTCTTTTAGCCAAAACTTATTTTTTTCCTGTATATTTATAATTTATACTGGCGAGATATGGCTCACCTTTTCTTCCCTAGGTTGCGATACATACGACATATTTATGTCTAAGTATGAAAGACTTAGGTAATAGCAAAAATTAATTAACTAATTAAGAGAAAACAAAACCAGAAACTCCTGTGGATTTTTATTCTAGAACTGCCATTCCTGAGGCTGAAAAAGCAATAGAAATAAAATGAAAAGAGAAGAAAGTAATTAAGATAATATTAGCATCCTGGATTTTTTTTAGTTGAATATGTTTATAACCTTCTAGTTTTGCTCTCAGATAAAACGAAAATATTCTGTAGTTATGCAAAGATTTAAATACAGTTAAAAGTTAATCTAAGTTTTGAAGGTCCAAGGTAGCCATGTAGAAGAAACTTATAGACACTTACAAAAAATAATGCTTTAAGTTTGGCTTATAATATATAACTGTATGGTCCTAAAGTTTTGGTAGTGCAGTGGAATTTCATACAGCTAACAATTCATTGTTAAAGGATTCAGCTTTCCAACAAGTCCACCTTTTTATATAATAGTTATTTCTATAACATAAGCATTATTCATATCCTAACATCATAGATATATTCTTCTGTAATAATTTTCTTCAAATTCTATAGGACCTTCTCACTAACTTAAAATAAAGAACTTACAGTCAAGGAATTTTCGCCATCATCATGTCTCATATGATTATGAGCTCTTCCTCTACCATCAGAGATGCTGAGCAAGTCTCTTCCAAAAGGTTCAGAAAAACTTCTCATCATCTGTCGCATACTTTCTCGGTGTGCAATAAAAGAATCACTGTTGAAAATACATATAATCATCCAAGAGTAAGGGTTGGAATTTAAATAATAAGCAGGCAACTAAATTCTACAAAGAATTATTTGGGGTTGATATGCTTGTTAAAGAGACAAAAGAAGAGTTTAGGTGAATGGAATTATCTCACAAAGACCCATTATTCATGAATACAAAAACTGTTTCATTTGCTATCTACTATAATTAATCTATGTATAATAAAAATACACCTTTATTTATCCCTTACTGTATAAAAATGACAAATACAAAGTAACATATCTCAGGTAGCTTAAGCCAGCAGTAAGGGAAATGGCAAAAAAAAAAAAAAAAGGACTGAGAAATACTGCTACCAGGTAGAGGTCATTTTAGGCAGCCAAAAATATAAATTCTAGTAAGAACCAATAAAGAATGCTAGCTTATTTATTTTTTAACTCTTATTTATGGAATATGAGCATTGTATTTGTTATTTGTTTCATTTCTCTTGTGCAAAATAACGAGGAGTGGGATTGTATGATTAACTTTATAAAAAATGTGAACTAAGAGTTCTAGTTGTGCTACATTCTTTTTTTTTTTAAGATTTTATTTATTTATTTGAGAGACAGAGAATGAGAGACAGAGAGCATGAGAGGGAGGAGGGTCAGAGGGAAAAGCAGACTCCCCGCCGAGCAGGGAGCCCGATGCGGGACTCGATCCCGGGACTCCAGGATCATGACCTGAGCCGAAGGCAGTCGCTTAACCAACTGAGCCACCCAGGCACCCTAGTTGTGCTACATTCTTACTGATAATTGGTATTGTCAGTCTTTTTAATTTTAGCCATTTGAGTGGTGATGTAATAGTATCTCATATTTTGTATGTCATTCATAGATCTTCTTTGATAAAATATGTGTTCAAATTTTTTCCCTATTTTAAAAAACCGGGTTGTCTGTCTTATTGTTATGGACTTATAAGAGTTCTTTATATATTGTAGACATAAGACTTTTATCAGATATTTGTCTTGCAAGTATTCTTTTCCTAGTCTTGGTCTTGCCTTTTCATTTTCTTAACATCAACTTATTCAGCCACATAGCTATGGATCTTCAGTTTTCACCAGACTATGACCTTTGTGTAGTAGTTTTATTTCTGAGTTTTCTCTGTCTTTCATCTTGTTTAATTTCAATTCTTATAACATTTTACATATTTCTATAAACTGCTTTCAATTGTTTTTAGGAGATTAGGGGAAGTACAATTTTTAAAATGAAGGGACAAGTTGGAATAGGAAGTCAGAATTAGACAATCTGAGGGAAGTATGGTTAAAAAAAAGTAAATTGTGTTATTTTAATGTACCTTCTGAATTTACCCTGTGAGAGTTAAAAGGCTTCCATTTTTATTTTTTATCTTCTAATATGAGAAATTTATTTGCGGTTTCCTCACAAAATGTTTGATATTATTAAATTTAATTTCAGTTAGGAATATTATAAACATGATTATCTAGTCTCTGGTAAACTAATGAACTCACTAATTTATATGTGTGGTAGCCAGCTTCTAAGATGGCCCCCAATGATCCCCTTCCCTTAAGTATGGGCTGGATTTCCTGACTTGTCTCTAATAGACTGTGGCTTCTGCTTGGGCATTGTCTTAGCAAGATGACTCACTCTGGGGCAAGCAGCTGCTGTGCTATTAGGCAGCCTGGTGAGGCCTACGTAAGTCAGTTTAGAAGCAGAGTTTTGAGACCAGTCAACAACCACGTGAAAGAACTTGGAAGTAAATTCTCTATCAGTCAAGCCTTGAGATGACTGCAGCCTTGACTCACAACTTGATGCAGCCTCCTAAGAAGCCCTGAGTCACAACCACCTAGGTAAGCTGCTCCTGGATTTCTAACCAATAGAAATTATATAATAAATGTTTGTTGTTTTAAGCTACTAAATTACAGCAGCAATAGATTACTAATACATATTACATCCCAAGGAACAATGCATAACACATCTAAAACTGTTCCCATTCTAAGTCTTCAATTTTACTGGTTTTTATCTAAAGACTGGGAGGGAAATGAATGCAAATCTTTAAAAATCAGTAGTTTATCTGTAGGTCTGTTTCAGCATCGTGAGAAAAATTTTTTTAGATTTTCACCAAATTTTGAGACTGTTTGGGATGGTACAAATTAAAACATAAGCTTCTATAAACCTCAGGAGGATGGGGTTTCTCAGACAGGTAGTCTTACTTTAGAGCAGTTGAAACTAAGGCACAAGAAGCCCATGAAACTGTTGATTAGAAGATGTAAGTCTCATGTATTAAAACACTTGAGCCAGAGAAAACCAACTGGTTTAAATGAGTACCCCTTCTCCAATCAAAAGTCACTAAGGAAGAGGTTCAGAACTGCAGATACTGATTGCAATGCAGCTGCTTCTCTATGTAGCATGTACCCAGGTGAGTAGAGACTTTAAGAATGGGAAGCAACTCTCCCGAAAAATGATGGAGAGACCATCTGATATATAGAATGGTTCAAATTCAATAAACATTTATCATGTATACTGTGTGTCAAGCACAGAAGGTGATTACTGGTCTAGAGGAACTTATAGTCTGACAGAGAAATGAGACATATGTTTTAAAATTGAGATTATAAAACTTGGATATTAATTTAGCTAATGTAAGAAATTGCCATAAATTTAGTGATTTAAAACAACAAATTTACACTTTTACAGTTCAGGGGGTCAGAAGCCCAGAATGGATATCACTGGGCTACAATCAAGGCGTTGGCAGGGCTGGTTCATTCTGGAGGCTGTGGGGGAAATCTGTTTCTTCCCTGCCTTTTTTCAAGCTTCTAGAGACTGCCCATATTCCTTGGCTTGTGACCCCCCCTTTTTTTTTTCTATTTTCAAAGCCAGCAGCATAGCATCTTCAAATCTCTAACTCTCCCACATTTAAAGGACCCTTGTGATTAAATTGAGTCTCCCTGTGTACTCCAGGTTAATCTCTTATTTTAAGGTGATTAATAATCTTAATTTCATCTGTAACCTTAATTCCTCCTTGTCATGTAAATTAAGATATTCACAAATTCTGGGGATTAGGGGATTAGGACATAGACATCTTTGGGAGAAGGGGAATTATTCCACCTACTACAGATATATTCCTAAAATCACATTATTTAAAGCAATTTCCAACTGTTCCTCTCAGTCTGCATAAAAGTCTTAGAAGATTGAAATGCTATAAAATACAGCCTGTAATTAACCTGGCACTAGAACACTGAATGGGATTTCTATGACTGATGATTAAAACAGTAAAAAGAACATAAACCTATTTTACAAGCCAAAAGAGATCTTGAAAGCATCAGCTCCTGAAGTATCCACCTCAATGGCAGCATTCCCTCTGCACTAAATGGCCTGATTTGTAACCATTATTTCTTCTTATAATTCAAGGTGACTTTTGAGATCCTTTCTTAGAATGCTAAATGATTACAAAGTTAAAAAAAAAAGTAAATAAGAACTTATGAAATCCATACCAATGAAAACTACTTTCTGTTCTTATGTAGCAAAGTAAGACATCTATTATACTCCCCATCCCACCAAACCCATTTCCCGACACTCTTTGAGCTACTGTCTCCTTCCCTTTAGCAGTTAAAATCTTCCAGTAGTCTTCTATACTTGTATCCTTTATTTCCTTGGAGTGCGTTCACTTTATTTTACAAATGCCCCTTTCCTTCCCTTCACTTCTGCATTAAAACTCCAAGGATTCCCTTAACCTTCCAATTACTCAAACCCAAAGTCATTCCTGTTCCTTGAATACTCAGCATCTCTAACTTTGGAGCAATGTACTGTTCGGAGCCTTGTTTGATAAATGCCTCCTTTAAATTCTCCTTTCATTGTTCATTCTCCTTCTGATTTCCTTCTCACCCTTGACAGAGCTTCCTGAGTGTCACAGATAGATAACTGGTGTGTCAAAATGTTGACATGCTCAGCCTTGAAGCAGCCGGTTGGGGCCTGAGCCAGCCAAAGCCCCTGGAGCTGGTTACCTCGGTCTTTCCTTCTTGTACCCCAAGGTGCTTTGCAAATATTTTCTAACTGTGAGTGACATTAAAATATTAAAAAGTACTGTCTCCTAAAGACATACAGTCCCCAACTTATGATGGTTTGACTTACGATTTTTGGAATTATGATGGTGTGAGAATGCTACACATTCAATAGAAACTGTACTTGGAATTTTGCACTTTGATCTTTTCCTGGGCTAGCAATATGTGGTACCACACTCTCTGGTGATGCTGAGCCACAGCAGCAGCTTCAGCTCCCAGCCAGCCACGGGATCGTGAAGGCAAACAGCTGATACACTGATAACCTCTGTGCCCATACAACCATTCCGATTTTCATTTTCAGTACAGTAGTCAATAAATTACATGAGATATTCAACACTTTACTGGAAAATAGGCTTTATGTTGGATGATTTTGCCCAACTGTATAGGCTAATGTAAGTGTTCTGAACACGTTAAGGTAGGCTAGGCTAGGCTAGGCTAAGCTATCATGTTCAGTGGGTTAGGTGGATTAAATGCCTTTCAAATCACACAATTTTCAATTTACAGTGGGTTTATCAGGATGTAACTCCAGCTTAAATTGAGGGAGATCTGTTCTTGTTTTCCCTGGCCTCTGTAGGGCTGATTCCTTTTAACTTGAACATGCTTAAAAATCACCAGAGGCACTTATTAAAATTCAGATTCCTGAAACATACACCCAAGGATTTTTGATTCACTATATCTGGGGCATGGCCCAATTAATCTGCATTTAAGCAAGCATTTCTATTAACCCTAACGCAGACATTCCAAGAACCTCACATGAATAAACACTAATCCTCTTCAACCATTTTGTCAGGGACCTCTAGTTCAATTTCTGCTTGTTTTGATACAAACGGTCTCCATTTATTTAACAAATATTTAACAAATATTTACTGGATACCTATGTAAAAGGCACTGTGCTAGGAAGTGGGAATGGAGCCCTGATCTCACAATAGAAATTGTAATACTTTCTAAAATACTCAGAGTATAA